TTTTTTTTTTTTTTTTTTTGAGAAGGGGTAACCAGGGATTGAATCCAGGGATGCTTAACAACTGAGCCACATCCCCAGCCCTTTTTAATATTTTATTCAGAGACAGGGTCTCGCTGAGTTGCTTTAGGGCCTTGCTAAATTGCTGAGGCTGGCTTTGAAATTGCAATCCTCTTGCATTAGCCTCCTGGGTGGCTGGGATTATAGGCATCCATCATCATGCCTAGTTATACTATTTTTTTTTAACACATCTCATCTCAGAATACATGAGGCATTCTTTGGCCTCATTACAAACAGAATCAGAAAATCTGATTAGAAGAAAACTAAAATGTTTTAATCTATTCAAATCAATCTTGAATATATTCACTGAAATCTTTTTTCTTAAATTTCTTCTTAGATGTTTATATCATACATTGAAGGGTACATACATCTCATTTTGTCCTCACAATCACCTTTGTTGGGGGCAGGTATACCCATGGTACAGGTGTCACACTGAAGCATGGAGAGGTTAAGTATGAGGAGTTACCTTCTCCTAAAACATTGCATCAATAAATGGATTTTTTCCCTTAACAGGTAATTTTGTCTTCTGGTCACTTCCAATCATTTTACCTAGGCTATTTTCTTCAAATGACTTCATTTCCTTTTCCACAGTGTCACTAACTGATATCCTTAGATCTGTGTTAAATACTTTCAGTTCCTACAGCTGTTTCTTAATCTTAGGTCACATGGCTTCTAAATTCTTCCCTTGCTGTTTTCCTTTCCAGAGTTTATAGTTTCTAATGCATTTTCACCAATATAAACATATGTAGCTGTGGATGCAATAAAATATTTGTTTTTTCAGTGCTGGGGAATGAACACAGACCTCCTGCATGCTAGGCAAGTCCTCTACCACTGAATTACCTCTCCAGCCCAAGACTTTTAAGTTTTAAAAAAATTGTTATAAAAAATTCTTGGGGACTGAGATTGGGGCTCGGCGGTAGAGCACTTGCCTAGCACTTGCGAGGCCCTGAGCCACAATAGCCACAATTTGATCCTCAGCACCACATAAAAGTAAAATAAAGATACTGTGTCCAACTACAACTAAAAAATACATATTAAAAAAAATTCTTAGTTTGAGGAATACCTAGATGTAAAAGAAATCCCAATGTATTGGATTTTTCCCATGAGAGTATATGCTATTCAGATTAGTGTTTTTCAAACATTTGATTATGATCCACAATAACAATTATTACTGCAACCCAGTCGCACAAACTATTTCATTGCAGTGTGTTTTCCAAATTGCAAATACTGCCAATTATAATATGCCATCGATTATAGAACACACCATTTATTTTTTTCAACTTCTTCTATATTTAACCCCTTAAAGTGAAACAAAACATTTAAAGCATATTGAACAAAATGTTAACTTAAAAAAAATTATTTGGGGGAATACTGTGGATTTAACCTAGGGGTACTTAAACACATAAGCCACATCCCCAAACCCCCTTCCCACCCCTTTTTTTTTTGTTGCTGGGAATTGAACCCAGGGCATTGTACATCCGAGGCAAGCACTGTACCAACTGAGCTATATTCCTAGCCCCTCCTCAACCCCTTTTTAATTTTGTATTTTGAGACAGGCTTTTACTAAATTGTTTAAGCCTTGCTACATTGTTGAGGCTGACCTCAAACCTGCATTCCTCCTGCCTTAACCTCTGAACCACTGGGATTACAGGTGTGCACCACTGTGCTCAGCAAATGTTAATATTTGTTCGTGTATGTTCATTATATTTCTTTATACTTTTTTTTGTGTTTAAAATATTTCATATTTTAAAAGTACTAGAGATTAAAAACAAAAAGTTCTGAATTCTCATGCTTGCTATGGAATGGGGTTGGGTGGTCATCTATTCTCTTTTTTTTTGGTGGCGGGGGAAGGGCAGTCTACCAGGGATGCTTAACCACAGAACACACCCCCAGCCCTTTTTTGTATTTTATTTAGAGACAGGGTCTCACTGAGTTGCTTAGCACAATGCTGTTGCTGAGGCTGGCTTTGAACTTGTGATCCTTCTATCTCAGCCTCTGGAGCTGCTGGGATTACAGGTGGGCACCACGACATCAAGCATGGGCATCTATTCTCTAAGGTACTATGACAGTTTTCCAAGGACTGTCATGAATATGTTATCTTTTTCAATAAAAAGATTCAGACCAGGCCAGGCAAATGATGTTATCAGGGACATCACCTTTATCTCAGCTGGGACACATCAAAATAGAGGAAAATTTGTAAATATAATTTGTGTTTGAATTACTAAATAAAAATGTCAGATAATAGTATTACACGTTAGGTGAGAGTTCCTCCACTGAGCCACAACCCCAGCCCCAGCCTATTTTTCATTCAAGCCTGATTTAGACTTGAATTTTTATAACAATGTGAATTTGACTTTCTGTACAACTGAAGCTCTAGTACATCAATCAATAACACAGATTATTTATATTCTAGGTTGTTGAGCCAGCACACACTGTTAAATTAATTGCAATTTAGTTTTTGCTTTTGGCATAAAGTACTTTTTGGCATAAATGGATATTTAAGGAAGTAAGCTAGTGATTCTTACAGTTGGCTGGACATCAGAATAATTTATACAGCTTGTTAAACATAGATTCCAAGTCCTTCCCAGGCCAGTTGAATCAGAATTGTTGGGATAAAGCTTGACCATCTACTTTTTTTTTGCAAACGATTGTGAATTCTGATGTGCAACCAGGATTGAGAATCATTGCTCAAGAGTCTGCCAACCATACATTCTATTATTATTATTATTTTAAGTACTGGGAATTGAACTCAGAGGCACTGAACCATTAAGCCACATCCCCAGCACTATTTTGTATTTTATTTATTTTTTTTTTTCAGTTTTCGGTGGACACAACATCTTTGTTTATATGTGATGCTGAGGATCGAACCCGGGCCGCAAGCATGCCAGGCGAGCGCGCTACCACTTGAGCCACATCTCCAGCCCCTTGTATTTTATTTAGAGACAGACAGGATCTCACTGAATTGCTTAGCACCCCACTTTTGCTGAGGCTGGCCTTTTGAACTTGTGATCCTCCTGCCTCAGCTGCTAGAGCCACTGGGATTATAGGAATGTGCCATTGCGCCAAGGCCCTTTTATTTTTGAAACAGGGTCTTGCTAAATTGCCTGGTGGTCCTGGAACTTTAAATCCTCTTGCCTCTGCCCCCGGGGTAACTGCGATTTCAGGTGTGTTCCACCACGTCTAGCTGGCAGGAGCTACTTAATTACTAAGGAAGGTACAGTTCATGTGATAAATTTCTTAGATTTCAGTAATTAGAAAAAATTTTTCCCCAGTTCCCTTGAAATAGAGGGAACTATATTACTGCCAGGAAGTTCAGAGCTGTTAATATATAAGTGTAATTTGCCTTTTCCTAAGCTGATGTTTACTCTTGAACTGTTCTGATTTACTTCAAAAGTCTTAATTAAGAAAAAAGAATGGGATAAATTACCAATAAATAAATGAAACAGGTTCAGTGGCTTTAAATATATTCAATTTGTAGAAATATCAGTATCAACAATCTCCAGAACTATTCAATTTGTAAAACTGACACTGTATCCATTAAACATTAATTCCCCATTTCCTTTCCCCAAAGACCCTAGCAACTACCATTGTATTTTGTCTCTATGAATTCAACTACTCCAGGTAACTCATATAAGTGAAATCAAACTATACATGGGGATGAACCCCTATAATGTCAATGTCTTGATAGACTCAGGCAAGAGGATCCCTCAAAGCCAGCCTCAGCAAATTAGTGAGACCCTGTCCCAAAAATGAAAAATAAAAAGGGATAGGGATGTATGCACCCCTGGATCCAATCCCTAGTACCAAATTTTTTTTTTTTTTTTCTGCTCCTGTTGAAATGAACTCCAATACCAGGCTTTTCCAACTAGCAGGCAGCATGCATGGCCTGTGGTAAATACAGGAAATCACAAATGTGACCAACTTTTGTTGGAAGCTGACTATTGTCAATAATGGGGGATTTTTATGAAGTAAATGGATTGACTAAAATTATGTTAGCTTATTTTTTAAAAATATTTATTTTTTAATTATAGTTGTGCACAATAACTTTATTTTTATGTGGTGCTGAGGATCGAACCCAGGGCCTCGCACATGTTAGGTGAGAGTTCCTCCACTGAGCCACAACCCCAGCCCCAGCCTATTTTTTCATAGTAGCACTTTTTGGCTACTAGCACCAGAATGTAGACTGTTTTATAATTTTAAAGAGGCTTCATTTTTTTTTTTCATAATAGGACATAGTCTACTACTGAAAGAGGTTTTACATTCTAAAGCAAATGGCATGGGCTGGGGATGTGGCTCAAGCGGTAGCGTGCTCGCCTGGCACGCGTGCGGCCTGGGTTTGATCCTCAGCACCACATACAAAGATGTTGTGTCCGCCGAAAACTAAAAAATAAATAAATAAATAAATAAATTTTTTTAAATAAAGCAAATGGCATAACCAATAACCTAAAACAAACATTTTCCATCAAATATTTTTTCAGTGAGTTAATATTGTAATGGATGTCACTAAAACCCTGAAGTTTCTTTATACCTGTAGTGTCACTAGGCCCGGATTATGGCTGTCAAAGAGTTCCCAAAGCTGTTATTATATTGTTTAATTTTGCCCCACTCCCCATGGTACTGGGGATTAGACCTAGGGCCTCTCACATGCTCTACCACTGAGTTACACCCCCAGCCTTTATATTCCATTTAATAGGCATCCGTTCACTACTTTTATACCTATATTTAACTTCTTAGAAAAGTTTAAAACAGTGATTTTACTTCTGAGCTAAACAGGCAGCACAAGATATTTTTAGTGTATATATACACACAATATGGTATTGAATTAATATTGTCTTAGTAATTATAATTTTGCCCCAAAGTAGCTATAATGACTAAAAGAAAACTTATAACCTTTTGAAATTATTAATCAAGGATCAAAAAGAATTCACCATTTGTAAATGATCGAGGATTGCAAATACTTTTTAATGGTTACTGATTTGCTTTGAACTTGTGATCCTCTTGCCTCAGCCTCCAAAGCCACTGGGATTACAGGTGTGTGCCACTGTGCCTGGCTAGTCTTCCTTAGCCAGGTTACCAAATAAGTTTCCACACTGTGGATGATAGGAACCAATGATGATTTCTAATCTTTCTACTTTATAGGTTTTTCATCAATGCTCAAAAACTATTACTGATGAAAATTTCCTGAAGAAATACATAAATCTTAGAAATTAACTGATTCTGGATTTTTTTTGGGGGGGTGGGGTGGGGCGCAGTACTGGGGATTGAACTTAGGTGCACTCCACCACCAAGCCACATCCCCAGTCCTATTTTGTATTTTATTTAGAGACAGGGTCTCACTGAGTTGCTTAGTGCCTTGCTTGCACTGAGGCTGGCTTTGAACTCACAATCCTCCCATCTCAGCCTCTTGAGCCACTGGGAATATAGGTGTGCATCACTATACAAGTCTGAATATTTTATGTAGTCTCAATTTTTAGCTCTAACAAATAGAGGGCTTTATTATTGCTTCCTAACCTAGTATAATTAGGCAAAAGTTTGCTAACTTTCAAAACAAGTTAAAAATAAACCTTTCATTTGGACACTTCACAGTTAAAGTCCTTATGAGCAGACAGATCTGCAAGTTGAAGTTTCTGATGCATAATTTTGTATAGTTATATGAGTAGGCTGACTGTATTATAGCTCCTGAGAGAGAGTGTACACTGTTGTTGACCATTTTTCTTTTAGAAACAACAACAACAACAAAAACACAATTATAATCTCTGTCCTCTTCATAAATTAATGACAAACCCATAAAAACCTACTAAGGCTATTTTCATGGGTGTTAAAATCATTCTTATTTACTATTTATGATCTTGTATAGGTTAAATTATTTACATACTCTTTAAAAGTCTTCTATGAATTGAAAGCTATAACTCTGTTTCTTGAAGTTTGTCTGTATCATGTAAGTATTCATCTGTTTGAGGCAGTTTATTCATAGCTCCCTGTCTTTGCTGAGTGGTCTTCACAAATCTGAGCAGATTGATGATAGCAGCAGGTGTCACTCCAGGTATGCGACTAGCAGCCCCAATCTAGGAAAGAAAACAAGAACTATAAGCTAATTATATCAAATCAAATTATCTTCCTCCTAACAACCTTAAAGTGTAGTCTATAAAAAATTTAGGGATTGAAATGGGGTCTGGCTATGTTAAAACTCCTGGGCTGAAGTAATCCTCCTGCCTCAGCTTCCAAAGTAGCTGGGACTGCAGGCATGTACCACCATGCCCAGTTCCTTTTTTAAATAATCATTGTTTTTTTCTTTTCTTTCCTTTTGGTAGTGGGATTGAACCCAGGGCCTCATACATGCCAGGCAAGCACCCTACTACTGTGTTATATCCCCAGCCCTTTTTATTTTTCATTTTTGGGACAGGGTCTCGATAATTTGCTGAGATTGGCTTTGAACTTGGGATTGTCCTGCCTCAGCATACCAAGACACTGGGATTACAGTTGTATGCCACCATATCCGACTACAACCCTTTTTTATTATTTTACTTTGAGGCAGGGTCTTTGTTGCTCAGGATGGCCTTGAACTTGTGATCCTCTTGCCTTGGCCTCCTGAATAGTTGGGATTACATGCATATATAACTACACCTGGTAATATCATTATCTTAATATATCTGCAAAACAACCTTGTAAAGTTAAGAAATGTGATTATTATTTGTTTTCACCTCAGAGAAGTTAAAATGATTTGTACAAGTTCACAAAACTAACATGTTAGATTATCTACTTTTTCTATTCATTAAATTAAGAAAAATCGCAATAGAGTTCCTTTCTTCAAATACAGGTCCATAGTTCCTTAACTGAAATGCTGGAGGCCATAGGTTTTGGTACTAAAATGTAATATTATATATAAGGTAATATCCTCAATGGTGAATGTAGGTAACACCCTACAATTTTAGTCCCATTAATACTTTGGTAGTGTTTTTTTTTAGTTCTTCTTTTGCAGTACTGGGGATTGAATCTGTGGCCTTGCATAAGCTAGGCTAACACTACAAATGTAGCCCTTTTTATTTTATTTTGAGACAAGATCTCATTAAGATCAACAGTATATTTTTATAGACAAATGTATGACTATTCATTCTAAGTGGTGAAAAGACCAAGTAGCTTCATCTCACTTATTAAATAAGTGTGGAGCAAAATGTTTTGTTTTGTTTTTGTACCGGAGAGGGAACCCAGGGCTTCAAGTATTCCAGGCAAGTGCTCTACCATTAAGGTACACTCTGCACCTGTGGCAAACTTTTGTCAGAGCTTTTTGTATTCTGGAACTGAGACTAAGGAGCTGTAAACTCCTATGGTAAGTGCTGCCCAGTTGAACTTTCTGTGATGATGGAACTCTTCTGCAACATTTGCAGTGTAGTAATGAACTGTGCAATATGGTACAAATTAATGACATGGCTCCTGGGCTCTTGAAATGTGGCTCATAAGACCGAAGAGCTAAATTTTAAATTTAATTAAATTAACATAAATGGCCACATTTGGCTAGCGGCTATTATGCTGGACACTGTAACCTATGAATACCCATAACCTAAAATCAATGAGAAGGGAGAGTTCTAGAATTTAAAGCCCATTTATCAAGTTTCCATGAAGTCTATTGCTAAGAATACCATATTATATTGATGAAATCACTCCTCCCAGTAAAAAACAGCCCCACCCCATTTGTTTATATACATCATAGTTCAGTAAAGAGCCTTTTTATTTTGTGAACCATTATGAAAAAATATGCTGCCCAGGAAACTATGACATGCTATCAATTTTTTAAGACATAACCTAATCTAGAGATGATAATATGTGAAAAAAAGGGGCATCTCAGATATCTTTAAACATTTATTAGAATCCTTATACCATAACAAAGTAGCTTTTTAATTTTATTTTATTTTTAAACTTTGCTTCTGTTCTCTATTTTACACACCCACACACCCACACACCCAGTAAAGCTGAAGCACAGGGCAGGGAAACGGCTGACTCCCCTTTCTCCTATTTGCTTCTAAGGCAACACTATGGAACTCCAAGGCAGGGATCAAGTAGTAATTTGAGAACCACTAAAACGTATTACATTTTAACATGGTAGTTTCCTTTAAGTCATGCACACACACACACACAATAACACATATTTTAAAAAGATTAAAATACTAGCTCTTTATAACTTTTTCCTATTCCACTGCTTGCTTTCTTACCGTCTGTGGGCGACTGAAATGTAGTTTCTCTCGAACTTCATGGGACAAAGACACATCCCTGAGAGTCAAATAGTCTAGGTCTTTTGGCAGCTGGAGAGCTTCTTCTCGTTGAACTTCCTTTATTTCTTGTAGCTGATGGTTCAATACTGATTCATAAGTGGCTGGGGAACAAAATTAGAATTATATTAAAAAAAAAAGAATTATGTTATGTACTCAGATTATACTAATAACCTACATTTATATAGCCTTTTACCTTTTGTAAAGAGCTTTTGCATGTCATCTCATTCAATACATCACAACACTGAGAGAGAGGTGGAGCAGATGAAGAAACTGAGGCTAAGATAAAGGGAGCGTCTTGTGTGCTAACAACAAAATTCTGTCTGGCAGTTTAATGGATATCTTTTTATTTCAAATATGGAAAAAAATTTATTTTTATTTTTTTAGATAGACCTTTATTTTTTCATTCATTTATTTATATGCAGTGCTGAGAACTGAATCTAGTGCCTCATACATGTTAGTGCTATCCAACTGAGCCACAACTCCAGCCCTCAAAGATGGAAAATTAAGTTAAGAAATAATTTGTGCCAGTAGTGGTGGCACATGCCTGTAATCACAGTGACCAGGAAAGCTGATGCAGCACAATCACTGTTTGAAGTCAGCCTCAGCAACTTAGCAAAGCCCTAAGGAACCCTACAAGACCCTGTCCCAATATACATAAAAAGGGCTGGAGATGTAACTCAGTGGCAAAGTAGCCCTAGGTTCAATCCAGTACAAAAAATGAAAGAAAAAAAAATGCTTTTCCTGTCAGTGCAAATCTTGGTTGAAACATTTACCTCAATAGGCTATGGGTTCAAATTTTAAGTCCTAATGGTAAGATATTTTTCTACAATGGTTCTCTGAATGACCTCCATATAAAACTATAATAGATTAATTATATTTTCTTGCAATACTGAAGGGATTGAATTCAGAGTATAGCACATGCTAGGGAAGTGCTTTATCACTGAGCTGCATCCCCAGCCTTTTAATTTTATTTTGAGACAAAGTCTCCCTAATTTGCCCAGGCTAGCTTCAAACTTGTAAACCTCCTGAGTCAACCTCCTAAGTACCTGGGATTATGAGCCAGGTATATGCCACCATGCCTGCCTCCAAAACTATAATTTTTAAAGTAGAGCTTCTTAGTTGACAACACTTAACTTATTTAGCAGAACTGGAGATTGAACCTAGGGCCATGTATACTGTGCTATATTCCTGTACTTTTTATTAAAAAAAAAAAAAAAAAAATTTTTTTTTTTTTTTTTTTTTTTTTGGTACTGGGGATTGAACCCAGAGGTGCTTAGCAGTGAGTTACATCCCCAGTCCTTTTTATTTCTAATTTTGAGACAGAATCTCAGTAAGTTGCTAAGGGCCTCTTTAAGCTGCTGAAGCTGGCCTCAAACTTGTGATCCTTCTGCCTTAGCCTGCCAAGTCATTGGGATTATAGGAATGCACCTCAGTGTCCATCCAACATTACTTCTTGTCCATTAATATATTATTACTTGTATTGGATCATTTGGAAAAATGATTCTAGAATTTGATGTAAATACCACACCATCATACATCATCCAGTTTTTCCTACCCTTCTCCCCATATCATCCTGTTACGTACCTTTTCTTTTTTCTTTTTCTGTACTTTTTAATTACATAATTTTCCAGGAAAATCTATCAAAATGCAGAAGCAAATTCTCTGTATTTTGTGTTAAAAAACTTTATCACTGGGATTACACATGTATGCCACCACGTCCAGCCTTGTTTTGTTTTGGGTACCAGGGACTGAATTTAGGGGCATTAGACCACTGAGCCACACTCCAGCCCTATTTTATATTTTATTTAGAGACAGGGTCTCAGTGAGTTGCTTGGCACCTTAGTTTTGTTGAGGCTGGTTTTGAACTCATGATCCTCCTGTGTCAGCTTCCTGAGCCACTGGGATTACAGGTGTACACCATTGTACCTGGCAATAGCTCTTAATTGATCTGTTGTTCATTCATAATTTGTACAAATGGAAGAGTATATAGATATCTTAAGTAACAAATTATTTTCTACCTTCTATTTTCAGTCTTTCAGCCAGTTCTCTACATTGAGTATACTTCTTCAAGGATTCTGGAACAGCCTTGGCTAGTAATTCCATGTCAACTTCCTCATATTTTAGAACATCTAGAGCTCTGCAAATATACAAAAAGATCATTAACATAAGGATCTATTATAAGAACAAGATTCCTTGGAATAATACCAAATCTCAGAATAACCAAAAAATACCTTCTTTCTTTCTATGTACATTGAGCAAACACAGCACTATCTGTAGAACAATATAACTTCAGTAGGATTTACTATTTGATTCGCCTTAAATCCTTATCATGAGAATTAAGATGTTGATAAGAGTAGCATGGTTATAATTCATTTGTCCTTCCTTTTGTGTAATAACAGAATATCTTCTAATAACAAGGGTTTCAAGAATTCTAAAGAATAAGGAAAGTGCTTCACATCTAAGCTATGATTTATATCTAAGCTATGCTAAGTCCTAGTATCCTGTGAGTTATCCTTTTGCATGCTGGGAAGCACAAAGGAAATCTCCTGCCATTTTTTTGTGTGGTGCTGGGTATCGAACCCAGGGCCTTATGCATGTGAGGCAAGCACTCTACCAACTGAGCTTCACCCCCAATCATGCCCCCCACTTTTTTTGGGTACTGGGGATCAAACTCAGGGGCACTTGACCATAGAGCCACCTCCCCAGCCCTATTTTGTATTTAGAGACAGGGTCTGACTGAGTTGCTTAGCGCCTCGCCATTGCTGAGGCTGGCTTTGAGATTCTCCTTTATCAGCTTCTCTAGCCCCAGGGATTACAGGTGTGCACCACAGAGCCCAGCTCCTGCTTCTTGACAAAACTCTTTAAGGAAGAACAAGAAGACACTGTATGTTTAAATCTCTGCAAAACAAAAGGACAAAAATGATATAAGAGTTTAAAAAGTATTCTTCTAATCTGATATTTTCTTCTAATTAGTTTACACACATGACCAAAACAATATGCCTAAACACTAATGCTACAGGTAGATCAGGTGAGATTTCCATTAACTTGATTTACTAGCACTTGCTGATATCAAATTAGTGAGAGAAATTTCAGGTGCATTTAGTCTTGAGAAATACTGATGCTTCTCTGGTCAATTTAATCACCTTTATACTGATCTTGGGCCTTCCCTTTTGGTATCACCCACCTTTAACCCTAATTTGACTCCAGATACTACCCCAAGGTGGAGCTAACTAGATCACTTCTTGCTCTGTTATTTTCTTACTTCATTTACATGTGGCCTTTTTTTGGTTATAATTTGATTAAAAAATTAAGGCCAATGGCATTTTTTTTTTTAAACAAAAATAGAACTTTTCTTTTTTCTTTTTTGGTATCAGGGATTGAACCCAGGGGTACTTAACCACTGAGCCACATTCCTAGCCCTTTTTTTTTAAAGACATGTCTTGCTAAGTTATTTAGGGCCTTGCTAAGTTGCTAAGACTGACTCTGAACTTGTGATTCTCCTGCCTCAGCCTCCCGAGCTGCTGGTATAACACGTGCGTGCCACTGTGCCTAGCAGAAAAAGAACTTTCAAGTTAAAATTTATATGGAATCTCAAGGGTCCACATAATCAAAATAATTTTGAAAAAAGAACATGGTTGAAGGACTCATACTTTCTAATGTCAAAACATATTATAAAGGGACAGTAATCAAAACATTGTGGTACTGGTGCCAGGCATGGTGGAAACCACATATAATCCCAGCAACTTGGGAAGCTGAGGCCAGAGAACAGAAAGTTCAAGACACCTTGAGCAATTTAGTGAGACTCTTAGCAACTTTATGATATCCTGACTCAAAAAATAAAAATAAAGTTCTGGAAACCTGTTGCACAACAATGTGAATATAGTTAACACTATTGTTCTGCACACTTAAAATGGTTAAAATCGTAAATTTGCAGGGCACAATGGCACATTCCTGTAATCCCAGTAGGCTGAGGCAGGAGGATCAAAGTTCAAAGCTAGCCTTAGCAACTAAGTGAGGCCCTAAGCAGCTGGTGAGACCCTGCCTCAAAAAAAGGGTTGGGGGGGCTGGGGATGTGGCTCAAGCGGTAGCGCGCTTGCCTGGCATGCGTGCGGCCCGGGTTCGATCCTCAGTACCACATACAAACAAAGATGTTGTGTCTGCCGAAAACTAAAAAAAAAATAAATATTAAAAATTCTTTTTTTTTTTTTTTTTTTTTCATTGCAACTATCGTTTATTAAAAAATATATGTCTCCTTGGAAGGAACACTGGTAAACCAACTAGTGTCATGCTTACTTTGAATCTTTGCTTTTCTTCCCCAGGAGGGAGGGAGGGAGGGTCCAGCATCATTCAGACATGTCAGTTACCATCACAGAATCAACACTCCCTGCTCACCCCCCACATCAGAGGCACGATGGCCATAACTTCATCCCTCTTTGCCTTCAATCCAGTGTACTGCCCAAGGGAAAGCTGCTGCCCTTTCATTACCCTCATTCTGGGCCCCACACTTTACAGTTAGCCTCAGTATGCTGGTAGGATAACTGTGAACAGATTTCCTGAATTTGGCTGGTAGTGCTTAAAGCATCTTCAACACTTGTGTCATTTGCACTGGTCCTAATCCAGTGGGCTCAACTTTAGGGCCAAGCATTTCTATATTCTCCCCTACGTCTTCCCTCCAGCATGGAGGTGAGGGAGGCACGTTGGCTTCAAAGGAGCACAGTGGGGAGGGGGGGAAGGCTGGGCTACCCTTGCTGCCCGCATTGGTGGTGGGCAGAGAACTCCCTGGACCGCAGTCACTGCCATCAGACTCTGGGAGAAAGCAACAAGGTCTCACGGCTCACCAGTAAGTGAATCTTAGCTCTACAGCTCAAATTTATAGCATTAAATTCTACTTTCTTCTTGAAGAAACAGTAAGCTACCAGCTGTTGGTGAGGGGGCTGGGGTAGGGCATATGGAGCAGCTGCAAAAAATACCCAAATCAAACTCACTACATGGCTGGCCAAGCCAAATGCTGTTCTATCCCAGCAGAGAACTGGAAGGCAAGCACCTCCCTGTCCCTGTCGGTGGCCCCATGAAGGAACCCTAGAGTCCAGCATGTCCTTGGCAGGCAAGTGAAGGGCCAGTGTGGCAGTGCGGGGGCCCAGCTCCTCCCCAGCCCATTGGGCCCCGCTTTCCCTCTGCTGACTGGACGGCCACGACCTGGCTCCTTCAGAAGCTTGGAAGCCTTTAGAACATTGGCAAATTGGATTCTACGCATTCACTTAAATAGTAAAAGTAAAATTTGGAATAATGAAAAGGCTGACACAGTAGCACAACATGATTTTGGTTTAACAGCAGCTTAAAAATGAACAAAAAGGAAACCTCTCATGCAGACACATCAGGTGGCATAAAACAATAGGCAATTTTATATGGAGCATCATTAGCCATTCTCTCTCTCTCTCTCTCCGCACACAGGACTGACTGAACCTCAGGGCAGCAGCTGCTCTCAGGTCAAGTCTCCAAACTTCACGCTCCCAGGCCAAAGCCCTTTCTCTCAGGCCTCAGGCTGACCCTGCCAAGAGTAAGCCTTAGCTCTCAAGAGAATGACCAAGTGTGCATGCCCTCCGTACAGAACTTTCTACCATTCTCAAACCCTTCTCAACCAGGTGGGATATAAGATGCCATCTGATTGGAATATGAAAATTAAAGCGTTTCTCTAATAACATAGTACCATTGACGAAGTCTCCATAGATTTTCTAGTCCCAATGTGTGTGAATATATATATATATATATTATAGGAGAGTGTATAATATATATATATAATAATTTCTATATATTTTATATAAATTACATATATATATCTATATATAAATAAGATACTTCCTGTTGCCATTACGTTGCACTGTTCAGAGCTGCAAGACAGCAGTACAGATGGGGAGAAGTGCCCAGGAGCACCTCATCATATGCTGCATTTAGCTCACTTCACAAGCTTCATTTTGTTGCATATGGATTTCCAGTTTTCCCAGCACCATTTGTTGAAGATGCTATCCTTCCTCCATTGCATGCTTTTAGCCCCTTTATCAAATATAAGCACCACATTAAATAAATAAATAAAAAAAATTTTATTGTGTCCAACTACAATTAAAAAGATATAAAAAAAGATCAGTGCCATTATGATTCTATAATGTGCTTCTAAGTTAAAAAGACTGTTGATTTGTGGCCCTTTGGCATCTTTTCCCACGCTAATTATACTTTTTTTTTTCTCCCAAATGGGAAAAAAACCAATGATGAGATATACAGAGTATATATTATGCAAGGTCCTTAGGAATATATCTCTGAAACAAAAATGCTCAACACATGACCTTTAGATTCAGAGTCTATATAACTAGAAATACTGCAAGGGTCTTTTCACATCCAAATAATTTATAACACTCTAATTTGTTTTATTTTTTAATTTAGAAATTTTCTTTGGTGGTGCTGGGGATTGAATCTAGGCCCTTATGCATGCAAGGCAAGCACTCTACCCACTGAAATATATACCCCAGTCCCCGCTTATTTGTTTTATTAAAGTGGTTTTCTTGCTATAGCTCATGGATAATGTAAGGCCACTTCAATTGCTCCAAGCCTAGTGAATAAAGTAATCATAATTTTTTCTTTGGTCCTCTAAATCTTAGGAAAATCAAAAGAATTCAATAGGGGCCACAGAGAAATTATATACAAAACAGAAGAAATAATTTAGAAACTCTTATATAAACACACACATATATATACACACACTAGAATCCAGATCCTTAGACATGCTAAGCATGTGCTCTAGTACCAAGCGACCCCTTTAGCCGTATGTATTTTTAATACTGACTAAATAGATGTTATATCTAAGGATTTTGAAAAAAAGTCACCAGCAAACTATATTCACTTAAAATGTACTAGTAGGATACCTGTAGGTAATGTCTCTCTAAAATAATGACATTTTTCTGTAAAAAGTGGTGAGAGAGGTCTATATTAAAAATGCATACCTGGGGGCTGGGGATATAGCTCAGTTGGTAGAATGCTTCCATGCATGCACAAGGCCCTAGGTTCAATCCCCAGCACCACAAAAAAAAAAAAAAAAAAAAAAAAAAAAGCATACCTGATGGGCAGACTTTTTACAATACTTATAGAAGCCTGTGGGATTAACTGTTTCCATTTGGAGCTTGAAAACTCAATGGATTTCAACACAGAAATGCCTTCTTTTAAAGATGACTTCATCCAGGAAGCTCTTTCATATCGTTGTTGGGACACACAGCCAGCTTCCTTATATCCTAGGGAGAAAGAAAGACTATAATGAGAGAGGTTTTAAAAAACAGTAAACTAGATGACAGTACTTAGTGAAGAGTTACCTCGGATCGTAAGCCGACTGTCAGCATTATCAGGGCGCAGTGACAAACGGAACTCCACTCGGCTGGTAAACATGCGGTACGGTTCGCAAGTGCCCAGTGTGGTAAGGTCATCAATCAAAACTCCTATGTAGCCTTCTGTTCGGCTAATAATAAAGGGTGGTTTGCGACTGACTCGAAGACTGGCGTTGATTCCAGCTATCACACCCTACAAGAGGACTGAAATGTTTAAAAGGCCATTATGAACTGAATGAAGAGCTATCCTATTCAAAACACTACTTGGAAAGAGTAGCATGGGACAGGAAGAAAGCAGGCCACTAAAGGATATATTAGAGGTACAAAATGTGATCCACATTTAGGAACAGAATATGTATAATGTACCATTTTAGAATGCTATGGTTATTGTTTTCAGAAATATCTAATACTTAACTATTTTTTTGATCTTGGGGATTGAACCCAGTGCCCTGTGCATACGAGGCAAGCACTCTAAACAGCTGAGCTATATCCCCAACCCAGAAGTGCCTAATATTTCTGAAAAGCCTGGGGTGGGGGTGGGGGGCTACTCTTTTTTTTTAAACTCACCTGTGAGAACTTTTTAGCCTTTCTCACTTAAAAGTAACAATTTTCCACTAATAAGGAATAATAACAATTTTCAATAAAGTTATCTTAAAAGAACTAGATTTTCTTTTTTTTAAACTCTAGAAGCAATATAATTCATCTAATCAAAACACATCAGATCTAAGAACTCAAAAAAGAATAATAACGCACAAGTGTTTTAAAAATCCTGTCATATACAATAGCCATCTACTTGTAACCTGAAACAAAGATAGACTTCTATAATTATGAATTGTACCTAAGATTTATATAGTTAACATGACAAAGAGAAACACCAGTTAAATAGTCCCTTTGGGTTTCCAGTAACATCTGAATAAAGCTCTTACTTGAGCTGCAGCTTCCTCATAACCAGTGGTGCCATTTATCTGTCCAGCAAAGAAGAGCCGTTGAACCAAATGAGTCTCAAGGGAAGGAGTGATTTGACGAGGATCTAAGTAATCATACTGAACACCATAGCCTGTTCAAAGAATAAATGGCATAAAATAAGTAAAAACAGATGAACTGCCCTCAAAGTAGAGATATAAAGACTACTTAACATCTGTACATATTGCGCTTCATTCTCTGAAGCTCTAATTAACAATGAGAGCAGCAAAGACCTCCTCACTAATCGCTAAAGCAATGCTGAGTAAACACTGAATGGTGGCTGTAGCCCTCTTACCTGGCTGAATCATTTTAGCTTTCTCTAGGCCTCTGATGCATGTAATCATTTTCTCTTGTAACTCAGCTGGTAGCGTCACAGATAAACCTTGAGGATAGATGAGGTCAGAATCCATTCCTTCAGGTTCTAACCAAACCTGATGCAGACGATTCGGAAAACGCAAAACCTTTGATTCAATGGAGGGACAGTATCTAGAAATTATATATGCATATAATAAAATGAACATAAAAGTGGTGACATCATTCCTTAAAGTAATTGAGCACTGATGTTTTGTCCTTACCGGGGTCCTCTTGTAGTTTCCTTAACATGACTATTAAGGTGAAGGTTCTCAAGCACAATCTTATCCACTTTTGGGTTGGTGTGAGTCAAATAACATGGCAGCTGATCTTCTGGCTAAAAAACAATAATCAGAATACTGTTTTATTTCTCTACTAGTTTGCCTCTTATCCAAATAAATTCTACTTGATATTTACTCACTTTAAGCATTAAATTTACTAAATTTATGCATGACGCCCAGTACTACTTATAAAGTATTCTTGCCCCAAATGAATAAATAACCCAAAAGATAAACCGAAATGTAGGCAAACTTCTACATCTAACTACCAGTTTATAGGAAAGACAGAAGCAGCAGAGGGATGCAATCAGATACATCAAGAAGATGGGAGCTTCTAGAGAGCAAATTTTCTCTGTACATAAATGTTATAAAGAAAACAGGGAGGGGCTGGGGCTGTAGCTCAGTGGTAAAGCACTTTCCTTGCATGTGTGAGCTGCTGGGATCGATCCCCAGCACCACATAAAAATAAAGATACCGTGTATTCATCTACAACTAAAAAAAAAAAAGAAAACAAGGAAGTAATTATAAAACATCCTAGGCTGGGGTTGTGGCTCAGTGGTAGATTGCTTGCCTTGCACATGTGAGGCACTGGGTTTGATTCTCAGCACCACATAAAAATAAATAATACAATAAAGACATTGGGTCCATCTATAACTAAAAAATTTTTTAAAAAATAAAATAAAACATCCTTCAATGCATGTGTGGACCTGGTTCAAATAAAATAACTGTAAAAATTATTTCATAGGCTGGGTACAGTGGTACATGCTATAATCATACCAACTTGGGAGGCAGGAAGATCATTAGTTCGAGGCCAACCTGGGCAACTTAGTGATAACCTGTCTCAAAATTTAAAAAATAGCCAGGCATGGTGGAGCATGCCCGTAATCCCAGTGGATGGGGAGGCTGATACAAGAGGACTGCAAGTTCAAAGCCAGCCTCAGGAAAAGTGAGGTGCTAAGCAACTCAGTGAGACCCTGTCTCTAAGAAAATACAAAATAGAGCTGGGGGTGTGGCTCAGTGGCTGAGTATCCCACCCAAATTCAATCCCTGGCATCCCCCTACACCTCTCATTTTTTTTTTAAATAAAAGGGGCTGGGGATACACATTCTAAGAAGTATATATTGTACTTTACCAAAGCAAAAATATAAAAAGTGACTTGGTGAAAATAATAGAATATTTGAAGCCACTCATCAGGACATCACCAGAAACTGGGACAATCAATTGTTAATCCTCAATTCCAAACTCACAATACACATTTTGTAGGGGAGGCAGTACTGGGTATTGAACCTAGGGTCTACTATATGCTAAGCAAGAGCTCTTCCCCTGAGATACATTGCCATCCCTTTTAAAATATTTTAGCCAGAGATGGTGGCACCTGGTTGTAACACCAGCAATCTGGGAGGCTGAGGCAGGGGGATCAAAAATTTGAGGCCATGTATAACTAATTAAAACAAATAAAAAATTAAAAAAAAAAGAAAAGAAAAGAAAAGAAAAAGACGGGGCTGGGGATGTGGCTCAAGTGGTAGCGTGCTTGCCTGGCATGCGTGAGGCCCAGGTTCGATCCTCAGCACCACATACAAACAAAGATGGTGTGTTCGCCGAAAACCAAAAATAAATATTAAAATTCTCTCTCTCTCTTAAAAAAGAAAAAAAGAAAAAGAAAAGTTTGAGGCCAGCCTGAGCAACTTAGCAAGGTCCTATGAAATTTTGCAAGACCCTGTCTCAATATAAAAAAAATAAAAAGGGCTAGGGTAAAGTGCCCTGGGGTTCAATCTTAGTACCAATAAATAAATAAACAGATAAATATTGATATTGAGGGATTAAACTCAGGGGCACTTTGTCACTGAGCCACATCCCCAGCCCTTTTTATTTTGAGACAAGGTCTTGTTAAATTGCTTAGGAACTGGCTAACTTGCTAAGATGTGGCATGGGAATTTGTAATCCTCCTGTCTGAGGCTCCAAATTGCTGGGATTATATGTGTGTATAACTGCACCCAGTTAAAAAGTTTATTTTGAGACAAGGTATTACTAAATTGCAAACAGTGGCCTAAAACTTGCAATCCTCCTAATCCAGCCTCCCGAATAGCTGAGATTACAGGCATATACCATCTCAAACAGCTTACTTTTTTCCAAAACTCAAAAGATAAGCAAAAGCAGCCTGTATTCTTCAAAAATGTCAGTTTCATAAAGATTGGTGAACTGGTCACATTGAAGAGATTATAGAGAGAAATGACAATTAAAAACAATGCATGATCCTAGATTGGAAAAAATAAAAAGGTCACTGGACTATATTGGAAAAATCATCAAAATTTGACTATGGATTTTATATTAGATAGCAGTACTGTATCAGTGTTAAAAAAATCCTCATATTTCAAAATTACACTGAGGTTATAAAAGGATGTTTTTTGTGTTTAGTTCAGATATGGACTGAAGTAGAGGCCAAGGCTCATAATCTCTGTAACTTAATCTCAAATGTTCTCTAGGAGGAAAATATATGTGTATATTACTGTCTTATACATTAAATATGTGCATTAATATCTACATGTCTACCTCTATATGTACGGAGATTAATATAGCAAAATATTCCCAATGGGCAACTTTAATGATTTATAAGAGTTTGTTATAATCATCTTACTATTTTTCTGTAAGTCTGAAATTGCTTCAAAAAGTTTAATTTACAAAATATGTAAAGTTATAGAAGTAATAAAATTTAAAAATTTACAGGGAAATACCAGTTAGCCAAATTAGCTAATACTTTTAAAAATCGCTTCTTTATTCCTAAAAATAACCACTAGCTTTTGAGAGATGCCAGTGATTCTTCAACAGATTTGTGTTTTCTGCTTTTCATACAGTAGTGATAGCACGGGCAATGGATGACTCATGCTATAGACACTTTGTGCAACAGTAACGTGTGTATGAGCAACTTTCTTGAGAAACATAAATCAAAGACCTGAGTTTTCACTAACTGGAGTTTATTCTTTACTTTATTGTTGCAAAATAAAAAGCATCATAAAAATAAATAAATAAATAAGATTGCTTCTTTATACCGTAAATAATAGTGATGCAAATTGTTGTCAAAAAAGAAAATAAGTTAGTATACCTCCTGCTGCAAATAGCCAATATCAATTAAGTGAAATTTTCATAAATCATCTTACCTTAATCCACACTGCCTTGTTGACAAAGCTGAATGGGATAGATGGATTATCTGGTGTCTGCTTATTTAGAATGCTGAAATTAATGGTCTCTTTGGCAATTCGGGGTGGAGTCCCAGTCTTTAACCTTCCCATCACAAAACCCAACTTTTCCAGAGTCTGAGCCAACCCTATAGAAGGCTGATCCCCCAAACGTCCTGCTGGATGCATCTCCAATCCAATTACAATCATGCCTCTCAGAAATGTTCCAGTAGTCAGAATCACACTCTCTGCATATACTATGCTTCCATCCACTAAATGACAGAAAAGAAAGAGTAAAATTGTTTTTGAATTACCACAGATCAAATGGAATGTGATTATTTTACATTGGAACTACAGAAAAAATTTCTCAATTTAGACACTTGAGAATTATGTGTGTATGTGTGGTGCTAGGGTTTGAACCCAGAACCTCACAAATGTTGGCAAGTACTCTACCAATGAGCAATACCCTCAGTCCTTTTTACTTTTTATTTTGAGACAGGGTGTCGCTTTGTTGAATAGCTTGGCCTAGAACTTGCATTCCTCTTGCCTCAGCCTTTTGAGTCATTGGGATTACAGGTGTGTACCACTGCAACTAGTTTTTTTAATATTTGCTTTTCTTCTGTTTCTTTTCCAAGTTTTATTAAGGTATGATTAATAAATAAAAAACTACATATTTAATGTGTACAACATGGTGTTTTATGCTATGTCTGTGTCACCATCCCCATAATCAAGCTAATTAATATACTTACCACCTCAGAGTTACAAATTTTTGAGTGTATGGTAGGATCATTTAAAATCCAGTCCCTTAGAAAATTTTATGTATAAAATATAGTATTATTAATTATAGTTATCATGTATTGGACATTAGATCTCTATAGAATATTTATCTTTTTTTTTTTAAAGACTGTCTGGCCATGTTGTCCCCAGGCTGACCTTGAACTTTGATCCTCTGACTCAACCTCTTAAGTAACTGGGAAGACAGGCAAGTGCCACCACACCTAGATTTAACTTATTATTATTTTTTAATATTTTAGTTGTTGATGGGTCTCTCTTCCTTCTCTCCCTTTCCTTTCCCTTCCCCTTCCTCCCTTTCTCTCTTTCGATGTGGTGCTCAGAATTGAATCCAGTGCCTCACACATGATAGGCAAGCACTCTACCACTGAGCTACAACCCCAACTTATTTTTAATGTCCCCTAAGTGGGGTGCATTATTCTGGAAACCATTTCAATACTAGGTTGCGATCTGGTAGGGAAACCACAATGTGTTATCCCAACTCATACGTTCCTAAAACCAACCTCAGCAACTTAGCAAAACCCTGTCTCAAAAAAAAAAGGGTTGGGGATGTGGCTCAGTGGTTAAAACCCTGGGTTTAATCCCTGGTACCAAAAAAACAAAACCCGAACAAACAACAACAACAAAACCCCCAAAGAAATTAGTTGGAAGAATGGTAACTGACTTAGTAGAGGGAAGAGAGCTATAATTCAAGCAGCTGATAGAAGATACCAGTAAGAATGAACTAATTGCCCTGCAAAGGCTCAGAAATTGCAGAACTGAGAATGAGAACTTAAGAATGTAGTAATAATGCTTGAGGCTAAAATAAAAAATAGTTTCAAATCTACACACTGAAGACTTGTCTCCAGATTTATCTTTCAGGAAATGAGACTTAAGCTAATCAGGAGTTATTATTTAATAGGTACAGAGATTTAACTTGGGATGATGAAAAAGATGGACAGTGGTGAAAGTTGCACAACATTGTAAATGTACTTAATGACTCTGAGTCTTGCTAAATTGCCAGGATGGCCTACAACTTGCAATTTTCCTGCCTCAGTCTCTCTGCAGCTGGGATTAAAGGCATGCAGCACTGTACATGGTTAAAATGGTAAATTTTATGTTAATTTAGATAGTATAAAGAAAAACTGTATTAGCTGGGCGCTAATACCACAAAAACAAAACCCCTGTATTGTTAGGCCTATAAAATATAGACAAAAATAATATATATAAAAATTAAATAACAGGAGTACAAATGACTTAAAGGTAGATTGTTCTATAATAATACAAGTAATCATTAAATCCAGAGGAGAAAGGAAGTGGGGGTAAGAAAAGGAAATAAATGAAAGGATATAAAGCTAATTTAGTAATTATTCACAGAGAGAATTCAGTAAACACTAATTGAAAAAGAAATTTATGCAAACTATGTAAAACCATAGTTACTGGGATGAGGATACAGCTCAGTGATAGAGCACTTGCCTAGCATGCCTAAGACCCTGGATTCTATCCCTGGCACCACAAAAAAATAAATAAATAAATCATAGTAATTAATGTAATCCCTGTAGCAAACAAAACCACAAATTTTAGAAACAATATAGTCTTCAAAAGCAAAACACATATAGATCAAATGAAAAAAAAATTGGTTTGAAAAATACACCAGATGAACCTTACAGCTTAGAAATTAAAAAAAACAAGAAAAAGTTATGCGACGAATATAATGTATATAATGTAGATAATAGTCTATTTTATCATTTACTACCATAAAATTATATATATATATATATATATATAAAAATAAAAATTTAAAATTTATCCAAACATACCCACACAGATGGGGGTACAGTTCATGGGTAGAGTTCTTGCCTGGCATGTGTAAGGCTCTGGGTTCAACTGCTAGCAACACACACACACACACACACACACACACACATACACACACACACCTTTACACAGCATACACAGCATCATTCTTAGTAAAGAGAGATGTAAACAAAGATGCAGTATTAAATCATAATTGAGAAAAATTAATTTTTAGCTACCTCCTATTGCTATTTATTGAAGTGAACTTGGTGAGGCTAATCAATTCACATAAGTAGTTCATCTTTTTAGTAATTGTATATGGCAATAAAAAGTGATCTCTCGTAGTTCTCTATTTTTCACCATATGCAAAATATATGTAACAGAAAAAATATGTGTGTATGTGTTAATAACTGCTTACTTACTGGTAAAGCTTTTGGTTAATAGTTACCAATAAAACTTTTAGAGTCCAAAGTTATTTGAGAATTTTTGACTGCTTAGGAGTTAGAAAGGGTTGTTCAAGGGTCAACTGTGTATAAGCAGACAAAAAGACCGCACAAGGGGTGGGGTTGTGGCTCAGTGGTAGAGCACTCGAGTAGCACATGCAAGGCCCTGGGTTTGATCCTCAGCACCATGTAAAAGTAAACAAATAAAATAAAGGCATTGTGTCCAACTACAACTAAAAAAAAAAAAAAAACCACACAGGAAACTAATAGCAGCAGATGCTCTTGAGATAGAGAACTAGTTGGCTAGCCAGGCATGGTAGCACATGCTTGTAATCCCAGCAGCTCAGGAGGCTAAGGCAGAAGAATCAGATATATTCAGTGATAAAGCGCCTTTGGCTTAATCCCTAGTACTGCCAAAATAAAATAAAAGAAAATGATAAAAAAATGAAAATAGAATTATATATTAAATGAAACCCCCAGAGAACCAATAGAAAAAGAAAAAAACAGAGAAGAAATACCCCAACAAGGGCATAGATTTATAGATTAAAAGGAAACACTAAGTACCCCTATCACAATGAATAAACAGAGTACACTGAGGGACAACATCTTTAAATATCAGAACACCAGAGACAAATAAGACACTAAAGCTTTCAGAGAGAGAAAAAAGACCTACACATGAAAAAAATTTAAATCAATATAGCATTGAGCTTCTCAACAAGCAAAACCAGAAGCTAGAAGACAGTGGAGCCAGACTGTCAAAACTCTGAAGAGAGGGCTGGGGTTGTAGATCAGTGGTAGAGAGCTTGCCTAGCACATGTGAGACACTGGATTTGAGTCTCAGCACTAAATAAAAAAAATAAACAAATCAAATAAACTTATCAAACAAACAAACAAAAAAAAAACTCGAAAAAAGGGCTAACCTTGAATTCTCTACTAGCCCCAAATTAAGAGTCATACCTGAGAGAAGAATAACATATTTTTAGAATACATAAAGACAGAAATTACCTCCCATGCATCTTTTCTTAGGAAGCTCCTAGAAGATGTGCTCCAGTAAAAATGAGGTAGTAAGGAAGAGACAGGAGCTCTAAGAAACAAGGGATATAACAGCAAAGTAGTGAAAGGAAGTCTCAAAATATATCTGTGCAGGCCTCAGGAGCAAAAGTCCTGATTATAGAAAAGAGGGTTCAGGGGCTAAAGAAATTGATTTCTCTGGGAGGGAAGCATCAAAAAAGAAAATTAGAATGGGAAGATTACTTGATATTTAAGTATTAACAAAATGATATTTGGACATGATAGTTCATGCTTATAATCCCAGATACTTGAGGGGATGAAATAATAAGATCACTTGAATCTGAGGTCAGCCTGGGCCACACAGTGAGTGAGACCCTGTCTTGGAAAACAACCAAGAGGAGGAAGAAACATAAAGGAAGGTAAACAATATTATGCTATTTGGGTAGTGAAAAATATTTAAATAATCACAACAATGTAAATACCATTTATCAAAAATTGTGGCATAACTGGAGCTATGAGGAGTGGTAGAATTCATGCGTGCGTAGTGTGCATAATACCCTGGTTTAATCCGCAGCACCAAAAAAAAGAGAAGAGAACAAAAGGACTGGTATATAGTTTAGTGGCAAAGTGCCCCTCAGTTCAATCCTTGGTACCAAAAAGAAAAAGAAAAACATCAAAAGAAAAGAAATATGGGTGTATATATACCAGAAGTGACAAAAAAAAAAAAAAAAAGTTGAAGTAGCTCTCTCTAGGGAGGGAGGTAGTGGTTTTCACATACAAATGTCTCAATTTTATTTAATGAAAAAAAAATCACACGCATTATCTTGATTAAAAAAATTAACACATAACCTTTAAAATAAAATTATATTAAATTGGTAAAACATAAATTTTAAAAAATGTAGTCAGAACCAGAAGAAACAGAAATTACAATAGAAAAACCAGGAGATACAGATGACACATATGATACTGTACTTTTCCAAAGTAAAGAATTTTATATATATATATTTGAGAGAGAGAGAGAGAGATATTTTTTTTTTAATATTTATTTTTTAGTTTTCGGCGGACACAACATCTTTGTTTGTATGTGGTGCTGAGGATCGAACCCGGGCCGCACGCATACCAGGCGAGCGCGCTACTGCTTGAGCCACATCCCCAGCCCCAAGAATTATATTTAATAAAAAAAAGAAAGAAAAGAAAAAAGAAAAACCAGGAGAAAAAAGACAATTAAGCTGGCTATGAAGTTCTATGCTAACATAGCATTTGAACTTGACTGAGCTTCATTATGTTCAAAATTAAAAGAGAAATATGATCATTTATGTAGTTTTTTAAATCCAAATAGAGAAAATACAACAATGAAACATTTCTATATTTTGCTCTATAATAAAGTTCTCACATGGAGTTTTAATTATTTTTATTTTTTAGTTTTTGGCGGACACAACATCTTTGTTTGTATGTGGTGCTGAGGATCGAACCCGGGCCGCACGCATGCCAAGCGAGTGCGCTACCGCTTGAGCCACATCCCCAGCCCCTCACATGGAGTTTGATACATTGTTATTACCGTCTCTAACTAGTACAGTACCTACCCAAAACAACACCACTGACACGGCATTTCCCAGCATGTTCAGGTTCTGGTTCATCAAGAATAAGATCTTCTACAGCTCCCTCCAGAACAGTAAGCTGTGGTGTGTTCAGGATTTCTTTCTGTCAAAAGAGAATACCAATTGAAACACAGTGGTTAAATAATCACTGTACTCTTTCCTGTTTTCATGTCCTATTCTTACCTGCATGTTTTGTTTATAGAGTTTCCTATCAATTTGAGCTCTCAGTCCCCAAACAGCTGGTCCCTTACGCCGGTTTAAAACTTTGTAATGCACACCAGACTGGTCACAGATTCGAGAACAGAGGCCATCCAAGGCATCTACTTCCCTCATTAAATGCCCCTTTCCAATGCCACCAAAGGAAGGATTACAGGACATCTGACCTAAACAGAACAAACAAAACACACATGAGCACCTTGCATATAATGAGTGTTTAATAAGGACATGTTCATGTAGGTGACTAAATCACCTTAAACACACACACACACACACAAAAGAAAATCTGAAACATGCTATAAAGAAAATTCCGAAGTCCCAATGGGATGCAACAGTTGTCTAGGGTATCCACAAAAACAAACAACTACCTGAACTTTTTAAAAAATCTTTTTCTTTGATACACATTTTTACTGTTTCATTAGGTTGTCTTTTCCAATAAAACATGGAATCTCATAAAATCTTCCTAAATCAAGCACACTTTTAAGAATTTCCATGGCACTGGCTCATTGTTATCATTAATTACGTCTCATGAATGCCATCTACTGCTTTCCTTTTCTTTTATTTCTTAGAAACAATTAAATCATAAGTAGAGACCATATCTTATGCCTTCCCTTTAAATCTACTCAGTCTTATTTGGAAGTCTAAACGTATATGACTACCTCAAAGATTTTTATGGGAAGTTCAGGGATGGGAAAGTTTTACAACATCTGTACATCAACTGGAGTCACCATTAAGCTTTCAAAAAATTTTAATGGTCTCTGTGGGGAGGCTGAATAGTGCTGTGGTTAGGAGCATTTTGAGTGTGTCTAGGAGAAATATGTTAAAGAGATCTGGCTCAATTTCTAGATCTACCACTTATTAGCAATGTGATTTTGGCAAGAAACCTATTTTTCTATACTTTTGTTTTCCTACTGTAAAAACAGGAATGATAGTGGTAGTAGACCATTTTCCTCTGAAATAGAATAATAATTTTGTTTAGGTAACTCCTCTTCCCATCATCCATGAGACTCTGTGCTCAGGGAGTATGACCCATCTGAGTTTAGTATAATCATGGCAATTAGTATAATCATGGCAATACCTGCTTTGCCAGATAAAAGGCAATAAGTCATGAAGTGGGAGCTGTTCAGATCTCTAGGAAAGGGCTATCTCTTTCTCTTTTCTCTCCTTTTCCCTGCAGTAATGGGGATCAAACCCAGGGCCTCGCGCAAGCTAGGCATACCTAATTTCTACTACTGAGCTACACCCCTAGCCCCCACCCCTCTTTGAAGACATAAAAGGGGGAAAATACCCTTCTAAAAGTTGTCAATCTGGTGCTAGGCATGATGGCACATGCTGGTAATCCCAGGGGCTTGAGAAGCTGAGGGAGGAGGATCACAAGTTCAAAGTCAGCCTCAGGAACTTAGCAAGACCCTATCTCAGAATAAAAAAATAAAAAGGGCTGGGAATGTAGCTTAATGATTAAGCATCCTTGGGTTCAATCCCCGTTATCCTCCACCCCCTCAATATAGATATGACTATATCTAAATGTGATATCTGGAACTATTTGGCAGCCATTTTGTAACCATGAGGATAGCTATCCTGAAGGCAAGCCAGATGTGGTGTAATGGAGAAAAGGAAGAAATTTGAATCCTTGGACATTTTTGGTTTGCTGAATTAACCTTAGAAGTAATCAACCTGCAAACTTGTTAAATAACAAAGCTTCCCTCCCCCCCCCCCCCCCCCCCCCCGCTTTTTTTTTTTGGTACCAGGGATTGAACTCAGGGGCTCTTGACCCCTGAGGCTCATCCCCAATCTTATTTTGTATTGTATTTATATACAGGGTCTCATTTAGTTGCTTAGCATTTTGCTTTTGCTGAGGCTGGCTTTGAACTGTCCATCCTCCTGTCTCAGCCTCCGGAGCCGCTGGGATTACAGGTGCGCACTACCATGCCCAGCACAAATTCTTCTTTTTACCCAATCAACTGAAAAAGGATTTTGCTACTTTCAAAATAAGAAAATGTACACAATACATTTAATACAGTGTCTACTGCAGATTAAGCAATAATAATTTACTAATTTTATTTCTCAGATCAGTGTAAAATATTCTTAGCCTATCATTCTTCACTTTTAAAAAAATTCACATAATTTCACTGAGTTTTTTTTTATTGTGGGGCTGGAGGTTAAATCCAGGGACGTGTGCAAGCTAAGCATGTACTCTACTAATGAGCTACATCCCTAGCCCTTATATTGAATTTTTTTATAATTATTTTTACTCTAAGATAATTTTCATTACCAGTTACATTAAATAATCTTCTATACTGACCATTTTCTCAAAATGTATACAAATATTTACAATTTATGCCCTTACATGAACATTAGAAAGGTGTTACACACACTTTGCATAAAATTAATAAGCACAGTGAACATTTTTTCATAGTATTGAGTTTATGTATAAGCAACCAATTTGCCAGGCACATAACCCTAGCTACTCTGGAGGTTGAGGAAGATTGTAAATTTCCAGGCCAACCTCGGCAATTTGGGGAGACCCTACTCAAAATAAAAGAAAAAGGGCTGGAGTATAGCTCAGTGGTAGAGCACTTGCCTAGTGTGTACTAGGTTGTGGGTTTGATCCCCAGTACTGCCAGGTAGATAAATAAATTGCAATCAATTTGTACCCCTAAGTGCTCAAGTCAATATATTATTTCACATTAAAATGTTTAATATTTTATTATACAAACATGAAAATCAAAAACTAGAGAGAACAATTAATTCCCAATTATCAATTCAGATGCAATCTTACACCATTTACCACTCTACTCACTCCCTACTCCCAGACAACATATTAACTGTATATATATCAGACAAGCACTTTTTGCTTAGAATAAACAAAATACACATACAAAAATAATTTAATCACACACAAAACTCTGAACTGTTTGCTAATGAATTAGTAACTAAAATAAAAACTAGAAATATGGAAAGATATTGTGAAGGTTTTTTTCCCCTATTACTCTGTACCACTTTCAAGCAATAATCTTCCCAGCTTTAGAAAAGACACATTTTAGATACTTTTAGATCAGAATCCAGTGGTTTACCTGTGAGATTCTGCTTGGAAAACATAAATTTTATTAAAAATAAATAAAACTGGTGAATGGAAACGTTACTTTCCAGCTCTCCATTGTTACCATTATTTCATGTTGTTTTATATCCACTCAGCTTCACACATTTAAATTACATGTTTGGCTCCGAGAACATTGAAGTTGTGGTCTCTGTTTTAGATATTGTTACTTATCAGAATGAGAGCTTTTAACTCTTATTATACACAATTTAATTTTGTTGTTGTTGTACTAGGGATTGAACCCAGGGGCACTTCAGTATTGAGCCACATCCCCACCTTTTTAATTTTTTTCTTTGAAGACAGGGTCTTACTAAAGTTGCTTTAAAAAATGGAAACAACATTAGAATGTATAATAATCAAAGTAAAATCTTTTTGGAAATCATATAGCCTCTTCTCCCCTAAAAGAATCCCTGTGAAAGGTGTATATTTCTCCAGTTATGAGTTGAGTAATAATTTCTAAAAAGTATTTTAGCATATACAAAATATGGGATTCGTTCACAATTTTATTTACTATTACATTTGCAGTATTGGTGGTTGAACCCAGACCTTGCATATGCTAGGCAAGCACTCCCTCACTGAGCCAAATCCCCAGCCCTTTTTATTTTCTATTTTGAGACTGAGCCTCACTAAATTGCCCAAGCTGACCTCAAACCTGCCTCAGTCTTCTGAGTAGGTGGGATTAAATTCACAACTTTTACAAAAACAGTAAATATTTCAATTACTCCTCATTCCTAAGCAAAAGGCAGGAGGAAAGGCATAGGCACGCATAATTTATAAGATGATGTTTCAGCAAGCATCTATCATGATGCTAGAATAGTAGTCCTGTTGTAAAAGATGGCCTGACCATCCAATACCCGTTACAAGGGGAGAGGTAGTAGCATTCAGGTTCTAAGCGCAAAACTGAGAAATACACATCCATTAGAAATACATGATGCAGTAAATAATATTGTTATCCAAAGGGCTTCATAAAATTTCAATAAAAAATTAACTGTTCTTTAATAAACGATTGTGAATAATGTCAGTCCACCCTTGATCTGAAGTAACAAGACAGTAGAGGGTAAACTCTAACAATGAACTAAGAAGCTGCCATCAATATTTCTGAAGTTTCTCCTTTCCTGGACGCACCACGCTCTCCCTCTCTCCATCATCCCCGCAAATGAATACTTTGGTCAACAGCAACACTCCGCAGGTCCACAAAATAGATTAATACAGAGTTCTAGGGCAGGCCAGCGTGATCCCTGTGAGACATTAATAAAAGCTAATACCACCGGGCACAGTAGGGCACGCCACAATCCCAGCGGCTCAGTAGGTTGAGGCAATAGTGATCGCAAGCTCACAATCAGTCTCTGCAATTTAGCCAAGCCCTTAAGCCACTTTTGCAAGATTCTATCTCAAAATAAGAAATAAAAACGGCCGGGTATGTGGCTCAGCAATTAAGCACCTCTCGGTTCAATCTCTCATACAATTAAGAAAAAAAAAAAAAAAGCTAAAACCACAGGAGTTGGGATTCTCAATAGCTTTTGGAGAAGAGAGAGCTCGCCCACGGGGGTGTGGAGAGAAGCGGGTATTGACTACTGCGTCCTACGCCAGGCTCCACACCACTCACGCTCCTCACCTATCGTGTCCACGCGGTGCGTGAGAAGTAGGGTCCGGGAGCCGCACCGAGCGGCGGCAGCGGCTGCCTCGGTCCCAGCGTGTCCTCCACCTATAACTACCACATCGAAGTGGGGGGAAGGAGCGGCGCTGTCTCGGCTTAACCCGGCAAACGGAAGGTGTTGTTTGATGAGAGAAGTTGCGACCCTGTGGCCACAGCGCCGGAAGGAGAACATGCTGAGAGAAGACCACAAAAATCCAGACTTTCAAGCAAACACCAGCGAGACGCAAAAAAATCTAGGGGACAGACAATCTTCAGGGCGCAGCCATCTTCCCTCTGACGTCATGGCGTAGCACTCTACGTCCAGCGTCACCACTGACTGGCTGTTTGGCGCGACTGTAATATCAGAGACACTGCCTAACGACGTACGTGACCCAGCGGGTCGGTGCATTCTTTTCCCGTCAACTGCAGTCTTTATGATTACCTACAGCTCTGAGTTGGGGGTTCCCACGGAAATTCCTTTTTTGGCTTTTCCGGGAGTTGCAGTCATTATTGCTAGATGGCCACCTCGGACAATAAATTTGATCGGTTTCTGGTACATTATCAGCTTGACTTCAGTTTGTCTATAAAAACTAGAGTCTGAAAATACGAATAGATTCGAAAGGAGTTCAAATATATTAATGGATGAAAGACTCATAGTGGCCAATCAGTGGATTAAATGGTTGGAGACTAAATGTCCTGCTTATGAAATGTAATTTTTTGGGAGTGGTGGGGTGGGCCATACCGAGAATTGAACACAGGGGCACTTGACCACTGAGCCACATCTCCAGCCCTATTTTGTATTTTATTTAGACAGGGTCACACTGAGTTGCTTAGCGCCTCCCCGTGGCTGAGGCTGGCTTAAGACATAAGAGCCGCTGGAGTTACAGTCCTGCTCCTTGGTACCAGGCTTGAAATGTAATATTCTTAAAAATCTTCCTCAGATAGGAAATTTGACTAGGCAGAGAAGCAATCCATGTTGCAGTTTTACTGCTCTGATTATTAAAATTATCAAATATAAAACCAGGCACGGTGGCTCTTGCCTGTATCTCAGCTGATCCTGAGGCTGAGGCAGGATTCAGCTCCAGCAATCTAGCAAAAGTCTTAAAACAACAATAACAACAAAAACCAACTTCATTCCCCAGTACCAGGAAAAAAAAACTCTCAAATATATCGTTTTGTTATCTTATTTAAAATAAACATTCTTTATGTGCAGTTTAAACCTTACAGAAATACAAGAGTGTAGAGTTAAATGTCACTTTATTTTGAGGGTGGTAATGAGGATTGAACCCAGAGACACTCTAGCACTGAGCAACATCTCTAGTCCTTTTTATTTTTTCTATTGGGGCAGGGTCTCACTAAGTTGCTGAGGGTTTCTCTATGTTGCCAAGGCTGGACTGGAACTTGAGATCCTTCTGCCTCAGCCTCCTGAGTTGCTGGGATTACAGGCATGGGCCACAGGCACCTACCTTAAAACTTGAAGAGCTAAAGAACCCATAACTTGCCTGACACCTGCAATTCCAGAGACTCCTGATGCAGGAGGATTTCAAATTAGAGGCCAGCCTGGGCAATTTACCAAGACCCTGTCTCAGAAATAAAAAGGGCTGGGGATGTAACTCAGTGGTGAAGTGCCCCTGGATTCAATTCTCAGTAGCACTCGCCTCCTCACACAGATGTAAAAATCAAATAAATAAAATATATACACATAAACTAATTTCATGGATTTTCTTACTAGATAAAATCCAAGCTCCACATCAAGACTCAACTAAAAAGGTCATTCCCACTGTGATTTGGACACTGGTCTCTGTGGCAAGATTGAGCAAAAAAAGTTTTCCTGGGCTGGGGTTGTGGCTCAGTGGTAAAGTGCTTGCCTAGCATGCATGAGGTACTGGGTTTGATTCTCAGCACCACATACAAATAAATAAAGGTCCATTAACAACTAAAAATATTAAAAAAAAAGAAAGAAAGTTTTCCTTTTTTTCCCTGGAATTTTCCTCTTTTGACAGACCAGCAGTAGAATTATTATTTGATCTGGTCTGGTGAATTGTTCCTTACACATTTTTGGTTAAGCAAATACTAATGGACTGTAGAGGATTTTAGAGACTGTTGGAAGAGAGCTTCAAATTGGTGGTGAAATCATTTACAGGATTCCATGAAAGCAGCCTTTCTCCATGGGTTCCACCTTCTGGGTTTGGAGTTTGGGCAACATGGGAAGTTGGGCCTTGGTCCAGCCTGGGTCATGGCATTGGAGGTGTTCATCTCTTCTGGGAAAGTTTTCTGGGAAAGTAGGAACAGGCTGTAGGATTACGCTGGGTGGGGGCACCGTGACACTGCCACCTTATAGATGATTAACCACCTGCTCCAGATCTCCTTTTTTTCATCTCTAGAGGATGCATGGCTGCCTCCTTTTTTTTTTTTTTTTTGAGAGGGAGTGTCTTGCTAAGTTGCAGGGGGCCTGGTTAAGTTGCTAAAGCTGGCTTGGAACTTGCTATCCATCTTCCTCAGCCTCCCTAGTCACTGGGGTTACTGGCTTGTACCACAGTACCTAGTACTGACTTCTTGTTAGTTTTTGTGGGGATCACTTTGGTCAATAGGTCACTCAAACGGGCTTGATCCACAGGGATCCCATTGTGGGACTTGGAGAGAGGAGAGGGAAGCAGAAAAAAAAGAAAGAGGAAGGAAGGAGAGAAAAGAAAAGAAATCAAGGAATTTTTGTCCATTGTCAGATAAAGGGATAAACAAAATGTGATATGTATATACAACGAAATATTATTCAGCCATAAAAAGAAAGCATATTCTCATATATCCTACAATATGTAATAATTTTGTTTAAGAGAAATACTGTATGATTCCACTGACTTAAGGTACTTAGGGTAGTAAAATCACAGAAAGAGTGGTGATTTCCAAGAATTTGGGGGAGGGGGAGTTGTTTAAGATTACAGAATTTCAGTCTTTCAAGACAGAATTGGACTCAGATGGATTCCAACTGGATATGGATTGATAGAGATGGTTCACAATGATGTAAATCTACTTGCCACTGAATTGTACACTTAAAAATGGTTAAGATAGTTTTCACAAAGTAATCAAGGCTTTCTAAACCCAGGAGGTTCCTGTCTAAAATGTATTTCTATAAAGGAGGAAGCTTGGTTTTGTAAATAGATATTTGAAAGCCTACACTGAGATACTCTGGAATCACAATAACAGAAGCAGTCTTGATGATTTAAAAAATATTTATTTTAGTTGTAGATGGATACATACCTTTATTTTATTTATTTTTATGTGGTGCTGAGGATCAAACCCAGTGCCTCACAAGTGAGGCACAACCCCAGTCACTGGGCCCCAACCCAGCCTGGAGGTTGTTTTGATGGGCTTTAGAGAGTCTGAGGTGGAGATGTAGTTCAGTGATACAGCACTTGCCCAGACAGGTGCCAGGCCCTGGGTTCAACCTCATATAAAATCAACCAATCAATCAAAAAAGCCAGGACTTGTGGATAGAAACTTTAAGATTTTGTATGCTTAAAAAGAAAAAAAAGAAGTTGGGCTGGGGCTGTAGCTCAGTGGTAGAGTGCCTGCTTCACACATGTGAGGCACTGTGTTCTATCCTCAGCACCACATTAAAAAAAATAATAATAATAAAGATAGCACATTCATCTACAACTAAAAAGAAAATATTACAAAAAGTATGTCGTAAAACAAAGTCAAATAAAAGTGAAATACTTCAATCCTTATTCTATCTTGTAAAGTTTGAATATTTTCTATTTCCCATTAAAAATAACAAGATACTCTATTTAAACTTACATTGAAAAAATTTCTCTGTCAACTTAAAATGTTAAAAAATATGCAGTTTTTCAAAATAGTTTTAAACTGTGTGCCAGCAAATGTGTTTGGTCATCAAAGTCCTTGAGGAAGTTACCTGTGTTCCCTAAGCCTTTAGCACTGCCTGCACTTGCCAGGCGACCTGGTGATGGAGAGCCCGCCACTTCCCGGCGGGGGCGTGGCTCCGCGTGACCTCCCGGTGTGGTTTTCCTCCCAGTGCCAGCTTCCAGGCCGCAGACGCTGCGTTCGCGCCACATTTTTAAGTTTCATTTCTACCAGTCATTGCAAGTTCCTCCTTCCGTGGCCTTTTCCCGAAGTCGACTCTTCTTTCGAGCCACAGAGAGCACTAGCCATGGACCCCGGACGCAGAAAGGCGACTCAGATAACTTCGAAAGCCGGAGCTGCCACCCGCAAGCCTTCGGAGCCGGGTACGAGGGTAGCCCTGACCCAGCCTTGCGAGTCTCCCGCTGCTTCCCGGGCCGCCCGACCCGTGGGAAAGGGCGGCCCTGTCCGGGAGTCCCAATCCTTGCAGACCCAGAGCGCTCGGGACCCCCAGGAGAAGCTGCTGGAACGTGCTCCCGGAGCCCGATCGAAAAAGCCATCTCTGCGCGCGAAGGGTGCGCCGCCCTCGGGCTTTAGTAGCACCGAACGAATCGTGGCGCGCACGGTTCCAGCCCAGGCAATGGAGCCTCCTGCGGCCCTGGGGCCGCCCCTTCCCAGGGCAGGGTCTCGCCGCGAGGGAGGCGCGCGTTCGGCTCGGGAACAGAAACCCCAGCCTGAACCCACGGAAGTGCCTTGCTCCGTCCCGCCGCTCCGGGCCCCGAGTCTGGGAGGGAAGGAAGGGGCGCCTGGCGGCTGGAAGCCCCGGGCTGTGCTGGAGAAGTTGAGGCTCAGGCGCCAGGAAATCTCAGCCGCAGCCGAGGTGGTGAACAAGGTCGTAGACCACCTGCTTCGGAGATTGCAGGACTTCGATTCCGAGTTCAAAGGTGTCGAGTTGCTGCGCACGGGGAGCTACTACGAGCGCGTGAAGGTGAGCTACACAGCTTTCGGGGTGCGACTTCCTCACCCGTTTCCCCAGTCTCGTATTCCCCACTTCCCCTGATTCGGGATCCCTTACTTCTGTTCGGAGGTAACGCAGACTCTGACTCTTCGGTGACTTGTGACACAGTTCTAATTAGAACCACAAGCAATTGTCGGTTCATTTATTCATCTCTACATTCCCATGCAACCCACAGATACTGATTGCCAGCTACTCTCAAGACACTGATTTGAAGGAATTCAAATTTATAGATTCATTCATGCAAACAGATACATACTGAGTTCCTTTAATAATTCCATGTGTGGTTGGTGTTGATCTGAGGTCCCAAGTCAAATTCCGACTTGAATCATTTGAAGTTGTCTGTGAAAAAATCCCACCAAATTAACTTAAGAAACTTTTTCCTATGAGGTAGAAAAATATCTTCAGTCTCCCCTTATCCCTACAGACTCCCACCCCAAGCAACCCCTCCCTCTCTCTCCAATTTTATTTCATTGCCGCTTCAGGGGATTGAACCCAGGGCCTCCTGCCTTTTTCCAAAATCTTGTACAGATGTTGTAGAAAGTTCATAGTGAGTGATATTTTTTTAAAATTAAAAAAAAAAGTTCTACATCTACTAAAAAGCATAATTTCTAAACACATATCTGATATAATTGGTTTTAAGTGTGTGTTCCACAGCTCCATTTGTTCGTGGATAGTTGAGTTACTGGAGTAACATGTTACTGTAAATTGAAGGTTTGGGAGCAAGCTCCTGCCAGAAGTTTGTTTCCTGACCAGTGTCAGATTCCTTTGATTGTGTTTTTGGTCTGGCCAGTAAGTTTTCTAAGTGTTGGGTTATCTCTCTTTCTCTCTCTCTCTCTCTCTCTCTCTCTCTCTCTGTCTTTTAAATATTTTTAGTTGTAGATGGACACAATACCTTTGTTTTATTTATTTATTTTTATGCGGTGCTGAGGATGGAACCCAGTGCCTCACACATACTAGGCAAGCACTCTACCACTGAGCTACAGCCCCAGCCTGGATGTATCTCCTTGAACTCAATAAAATCGTGTACAGAAAGAGAGATAATATATGTTTATTAAGTAATCATAATTTATTTTAAAGTTATATATTAGCTTTATGCAACTGATGTTCTCTTCCAGTAGGTGGATAATTATAAAAACTAGATTTACAGTGTTAGGATTTTAAACTCTTTCTTTTCCTCTTTGGTGTTTTTATAAAAAGCACACAAGAGAGAACAGGTTAATATTATGCATATTTTATTTCTAAGGCTTAACACAAGCATTTCATGGCAATGAATAAATAAATGGGCTCCAGAAGAAAGGATGGGTGGTGTCTTTCAAGATCCATACTCATCTTTGAATATCTTCCTAAAGACACTAAAATTTAAAAAAAAAATTATTCTTAGTTTTACATGACAGTAGAATATATTTTGGCAGAATATACATACATAAAGTGTAACTTAGTCTATTGGGTTTTCACTCTTGTGGTCGTACATGGTGTGGAGTTATCCTGATTGTGTATACAAATACAAGGCTAGGAAAGTTATGACCAATTAATTCTACTGTCTGTCCTATTCTCCTTCCCCTTCCTTCCCTTCCCTTTGTTTCCCTTTGTTTAGTCTTGTCTATTTCTATTATTCCCCTCCCCAATCTCTCTCGTTTTTGGGTAAGAATCCACAAATCAGAGAGAACATTCAGCCTTTGGTGTTTTGGGATTGATTTATTGCACTTAGTATGATACTCTCCAGTTCCATCCATTTACTGGCAAATGCCATTTCATTCTTCTTTATGGCTGAGTAATATTCCATCATATATATATATATATATATATATATATATATATATATATATATAATATCACATTTTCTTTATCCATTCTTCTGTTGAAGGACACATAGGTTGTTTCCATAGCTTGGCTATTATGAGTTGAGCTGCTATAAACATCACTGTAGTGTGCTGTTTTTAAGTCCTTTGGGTTTAGATCAAGGTATGGGATAACTGGGTCAAATGGTGGTTCCATTCCAAGTTTTCTAAGGAACCTCCACACTGCTTTCCATAGTGGCTGCACCAATTTGCAGTTCCACCAACAATGTATGAGTACACCCTTTTCCCCACATCCTCGCCAACATTTACTGTTCCTTATATTCATTCTGACTGGAGTGCGATGGGATCTTAGTGTAGTTTCAATTTGCATGTCTTTAATTGCTAGAGATGTTGAATTTTTTTTTCATATATTTGTTGACCATTCGTATTTCTTCTTCTGTGAAGTGCTTGTTTATTTCCTTTGCCCATTTATTGATTGGGTTATTTATTTTTCTGCTGTTAAGTTTTTTGAGTTCTCTGTGTATTCTGCAAATTAATGTCTTATCTGAAGATACTCGAAACTTAAACCATTTGAGAAGGAATTAAATAATGGAAAGCTATATCATGTTCATTTTTCCTTAGATTGATCTATAGATGCAGTACCATCTCAGTCAAAATCCACTCACTGTTCTGTTTAAATCGACAACCTGATTAAAAGATGTATATGGAAATGCAAAGGACTTAGCAACCGAAAGGAGAAAATGTTGGAGGATTTACCTTCTAAAGAGGTGGGGTCGGGTGGGGTGGGGTGGTGGGATCTGTGAGGGCGAAGGGGTAGGGCCTGCTGGGAATGTAGCTCAGTGGTAAAGTGCCCCATACCAAAAAATAAAATAAAATAAAATAAAATAAAAGATAAACCAATTTAAAATTGGCAAACGAGTTGAACAGATAGATTAGTATACAAATAGCAATAAATGTGAAAGGTATATAGCATCAGTAATTGTTAGGAAAATGCAAATTAAAGCCATAATGATGGTTAAAATTAAAAACAACAGCAACAACAAAAACTTGACAATTCCAGTGTTGGAGAATATGTGGGGGAAACAGAAATTCTGTTAACACTGATGGGAGGGTAATTTGGTACTACCTCTTTAGAAAATTGGTAATTTCTTCTGAAGTTAAAGTAATGTCTACTCTCTGGTCCAACAGTTTCACTCCTGGGCATACATACAGTAGAAACGAGTGTCATGTCCACAAAAGATATATAAGAGAATGCTCAGAAAAGTATTATTTGTAATAGTTAAAAACTGGATTGACTGGGAGTGTAGCTCAATGGTAGAGCACTTGCCTAGCAGGTGACAGGCCCTGGATTTGATACCTAACATCAAAACAAAAGTGAAAATGACCCAAATATCTGTCAAAAGAATGAGTGAACATATTCGATATTACTTCAACGGAATACTATATGGAGTGAAAAAAAACAAATTACCAATAAACACAACAAAACATTGAATTTCACAATGTTGAATGAAATCAGATTTGGAAGGGTACATACTGTTTGATTCCTTTCTTATGACTTTCCTAAGGAGGCAAAGTCATAAGAAAGGAATCATATAGTATGTACCCTTCTAGAAGTCAGAATAACCCTTGGTGGAAAGTAACTGACAGGAAGTAGGAATGAGGAGGGAAGGTTTGTGGTGCTGGGAATAGACATAGGCAAGTTAGAATGCTTCAAAGCTCAGGATTCTTTTTCTTGAATATATCCTCCTTGGTTTGTTGTAAGCCTTTAGTTAGTTTGTAGAGTTCTGAAAAAGCTGAATTTTATGATTTCTGCCTGTGTTCTTATGGAAGAGCAGATTTGGGGAGGCTCTTCACCATGCCTACTCATGTCCTCCAAGTATTTGTTTCACCTCACAGTATGTCTCAGCTTTGGCTGCCCATGACAAAATACCATGGACTGGATGGCTTAAACAACAGAAATATAAATTTCTCACAGTTCTAGACACTGAAAGTCTGAGATCAGCATGCTGGCCTGGTCAGGTTCCAGTGGGGACCTTCTTAATGCTGTGCAGATGGTTGTCTCCGTGCATGTGCATATGTGTGCATGTGATCTTCCTCTTAAGAGGCCACCAATTCTGTCAGGTTTAGGGCCCCACTCTTATGACTTTATTTAACCTTAATTACTTCCTAAAAGTCCTATTTTTAAATAGAGTCACATTCAGGGTTCGGGCTCCAACATATGGATTTTGGGGGAGTCCATTACATAATATATCTCATTTGGACCAGCTACATTTCATGTGGTTAATAGACATGTTGGTTACTTGATTTTGTGTGTGTTTGTGTGTGCATGAGATTGAACCCAGTGGTGCTCTACAATTGAGCTACATCCCCATGCCTTTTCATTTTTTTAAATTTTAGTACCGCTAAGTTGCCAGGATGGCCTCTAACTAGTGATCCTCTGGCCTCAGCCTCCTGAGTAGCTGGGATTATAGGCATGTGCCACCAGGTCTGTCATGGTTACTCTGTTCTGTATTGAACAGTACAGTCTAATCGCAGTACTTAAAACTAAAGACATGAGCTAAATTAATACTTGTGATATTTTTAACAAAGGAAAATATTTATTATGATTGTTGTATTATTGTTGTAAGGATGAAAAAGAAGATTCTTTGAGGCTCCTGCAAATACTGTAGTTCATAGGTAGTGTATGACTTGGAGCTCACACTCATTTGATGGCTGGCAGCCATAGAGACAGCCCTTGCTTAGGTGGCCAGGAGGTAGTTATACACATTTTTGAGAACATTGTGACAGGAGGGTGGCTGCAGTGTCTATCTTATGGTATAAAAGGTAGCACATTAAAGGTTTGTAATTTTATTAAGTTTCAAACTAAAAAAAAAACCCACCTGGTATAGATTCCAAAAGCTTACATTATATCATTTAAAATTATTTTAATTATAAAAATAATGCTTGCTTATGATAAAAAAAAGAAAAAGGAAAAAATTGAGAGTAGAACCTACATACTAAAACCAGTAATACTCTTCCATCTATCGACAGCTTCAGTAGTCCCACTCCCAAAGGGCATAAATATTAAAAATCTTGCTTTTCAAAGTAGGATTCCAAGTGGAAATTTCAAGAAAAAAATTGCATTTACTTGGAACATATTCACAAGCATACATTTCAGTTCTATTTTTACTATTTCTTAGATTTCTGCACCTAATGAATTTGATGTCATGTTTAAACTGGAAGTCCCCAGAATTCAGCTAGAAGAATATTGTGATAGTGGTGCTCATTACTTTGTGAAGTTCAAAAGAAATCCCAAAGGAAATCCTCTGAAGCACTTTGTAGAAGAGGAAATATTGTCAGCTTCTAAGATGCTGTTAAAGTTTAGGAAAATCATTAAAGATGAAATTAAAAATATCAAAGGTAAGATTTTTGGCTTTTGATTCTTAAAGGTCTAATGCTACTCAGAAATTACCATCATACATCCTTCTCCTGATTGTTTTTTTTTTTTTTAACTTCTCTGCCACAGACTGTTGATTACTACTTCCTTCTAGAAACATCTTCTTTACCATTGGTTTTCCTTTGATGCATCTTCTTGGTATTCTTCTTAAGTGTTGACTGGCTCTCTTTTGGTTTCCATTGAGTACTTACTAAACTGCTGCCTGTATCACTGGATAAATGTGCCTGAGTAAAATTGGTGGGATCCCCTTTTGAAGCTCATAATCTAGTAGAGCCACAGTATAAATAACTTAACACTGAATTGCAGTGAGTGATCTGGGGGTGTGTACTGGAGTGGAGCATGACCCAGAGGCAGCAAAGAACCTACTCAAGGAACAAAATGTGTGAACAAGGGGAAGAGTGATAGGCAGGGGCAACTTTCAGGAAAGACTTGTCGATCCTGGAAAAGGATTTAGATGTTACTCTGTGTTCATTGAGAATCCAGGTTTTAATCAAGGAGTAATGATTGATTTTGTATCTTTAAAAGTTTACTCAGGGGCTAGGGTTGTGGCTCAGGGGTAGAGCACTTGCCTTGTACGTGTGATGCCCTGGGTTCAATCCTTAGCACCATGTAAAAAAAAAAAAAAAAAAAAAAAAAATATATATATATATATATATATATATATATATACAAAAAATAAAGTTAAAAAAAGTTTACTCAGGCTTCCATGGAGACATATAAGAAGGCAAATAGGAAAATGTTTTAATACTTGAGGTAGCTTCGATGAATAGGCATTGGGTGCTAGGGATGGAGAAAAGGGAGCAGATCCAAACTGTGGCAGTACTTGCATCTGGATTAATCGTAGGGGATGAGAGAGAGGACTAAATTAAGATGGTTCCCGGGTTTCTACATCGTACCTTTTTCTAGGATCAGAAGAACTGAGGAGGAACATTTTGTTGGTTAGCTTTCTGGTATTATAATAATACCTGAGAGTATTAGTTTATAAAGATTAAGATTTATTTGAGCTTCAGTCCCTGTTATTTTGAGTCTGTGATGGTACAATGTGGCAGCAACATGAGGTAGAGCAAAACCAGTCACTTCCTGCCCAGGAAGTAAAAAAGATAAAGAGAAAAGTAGCAGGGTCCCACAGTCCACCTGAAGGGGATGGCCCAGTGACTTAAAGACCATCTACAAGGCTCCACCACCTAAAGTTTCCACCACCTCCAAGTAGTGCCACCCTGAACCTTTACCACATGGATCTTTAGGGGATCCTTAAGATTCAAACTATAGGGGCTAGGGATATAGCTCAGTTGGTAGAGTGCTTGCCTTGCATGCACAAGGCCCTGGATTTGATCCCCAGCAACCCCTCCCCCCCACAAAAAAAGATCCAAACTACAAGCATTTGCACAATGGTGCACACTATGACTCCAGCGACTCAGGGAGGCTAAAGCAGGACCACCAACAGCTACCTTTCCAGTGATTGGGCATTTAGAGCTCATGGTGTCTAAAGTGAATTTCAAATTGGCTTGATTTTTCTTCCCCCTGCTTTTTGTTTTGGGGAATGGAATCAACATCAGTCCTTTCTCAGGCCGAAATCTAGGATAGAATCCCAGGCTCCTACTTTGATCCGCACCTCACACACTCTGTGTATCTACCATCTAGTTCTGTTGATTTAAACCTCTTTATTCTATTTATTTAGAGGTGGGATCTCATTACTTAGGCTACTGTCAAAAAACATTCTTTTGAGGGAGGCTGGGGGTCAAACCCAGGGCTTTGCACATGCTAGGTGAGCATTCTACCACTGCTCTAGATCCCAGCCCTGATTTGAACCTCTTTAATTGCTCTCATTTCTACTCCCCTTCTTGATGCTCACTGCTCCGTGCCTGGCTATTGGTGTGGTCTGCTCTCAGGTCTGTCTCTTTCCTGCCACTCACGTGTCTCCTTTTCAGGCTTCCTTACAAACTGGTATCCACAGTTCTAAATGAAAATTCAATTACAACACTCCCAAATCCCAAGTCTTTAGGGGCCCCTCCTCATATGTGCTATGAATCTTGACAACACCTACCAATCATAGGTATTAATAAATAAGGGTTAAATGAGTAAAACATCCTGCCTCGTGGGGTAATTTTATGTTTTAGAACTAATGTTTATCTTATACTTAGATCTTCAGTTACAATTATATCACTTTGCCCGATTTTTCCAGAGAAAATTGGATCAATGAGCCCTTTCTTCCCTTCTATATTTTTAAACAGATATAGACGTCACTATGGAGAAGAAAAAACCAGGGAGTCCTGCTGTAACACTTGTTATTAGGAAATCTGAAGAAATATTTGTGGATATAATTCTGGCTTTGGAATCAAAAAGTAGCTGGCCTGCTAACACACAGAAAGGTCTGCCTATCAATAACTGGCTTGGAGCAAAAGTTAGGACCAATCTAAGACGACAGCCATTTTACCTCGTACCCAAGCATGCAAAAAAAGGAAACGGTTTTCAAGGTATTTTAAGTGTGAAGTTAATAAACTCATAAAGGAGTTGGGAATATTTTCTGGTGGGACAGTAGAAGACTCACAGGCAACTAATGCTGTTGGCATTGCAAGAGCCATTATAATGGATAAATAGGTTACAAGACGAGAGTGAGAGAAAGAAACTGAAAAGGCGTAGTTATAGTCGTATTATTAAGCAGTTGTAGTAAGCTTCATTTGAACCTTTTTTTTTAAAAAGTGTTTATTCTTAAGTTTTAGGTGGATACAATATCTTTATTTATTTTACATTTATATGGTGCTGAGGATCGAACCCAGTGCCTCGTGCATGCTAGGCGAGCGCTCTACCACTGAGCCACAACCCCAGCCCCTTGAACCTTTTTTTTTTTTTAAAATAGACTAATGTAAGTATTCTTAGACTAGGCTAAGCCATCATATTCACTTGGAGCTATTAAATGCATTTTGAATTTATGATATTTTCTGTTTACAATGGGTTTTCTGGATATAATCTCATCATAAGTCAAGGAGCATCTGTATTTGCATGAATTATTTGGGATTTTTCTGCATGGGAGATTTGTCTCTTTTGAGTTTTTTATTGATTTATCAGGATGGACGAGGGGATATTTGTTTCATATTTTGGGCTATAATATAAAAGTACTTTATTTAGTTTGGTGCTTAGAGTGTTCCAGCTTTAGCCTTGAGGAGCTCTTTTAGTTAACTTCTGGGTCCTTTTGACATAATCCCCTTACTCTTTTTTGCACACTTCTTCACTTTGTAGCACTGTAAGATCCAAGCTCATCTTGTATATGGCCTGCTTCTGTCCTGGAACCCAAGGACCTCTGGATCTTTTTGTTGGAGAATGTGGTAGAAATCAAGATCTGGGTGATAGATGTGCTCATCACTACTAGGGTGTCATCCCCCTCACCTGGTGAAGCAAGGAAACATGTGCACACTAACCCTTGTATTTACACATATCTATAAATATTTCTATATGTAGCCCCCTGTATTGTTAAGTTATACATGAAGTCATACTGATATCTTAACTATAATCCATTGCTACATGGATCTTTCTATCCTTCTCTGTTATCTATAACCTCTCGTTCTAACATTGAAAATACTGGCCCACACCATGAGCCATTCGATTATTTAATTCTTCGATTCTAATATACAAATATACTTGTTTCAGAATTGTGAAACAATTCTCCTATGGGAAACAGTTATGATTACAGTATAGAGCTTTTTGTATAAAGTATAAAGGCCTTTTGCCTTTAGTCTTAGACTCTGTGTTAATTTCCAAAGAAAAGCATCTTTTTCCCCAGGTTGTTTCATATATTTAATATAATTAGAGTTTCTTTATAATTAGAGCACACTCTGAATTATGTTCTCACCTATTCTGACATCTTAAGTGGGTTTTTGTTTGTTTTGTTTTGTTGTTGTTGTTCATCTAGAAACTTTTTTTAAAAAAATTTGAGACAGAGTCTCTTTAAGTTGCTTAGAGACTTGCTAAATTGCTGAGGCTGACCACAAACTTGAGATCCTCCTGCCTTAGCCTCCTGAGTTACAAGTATGCACCATGGTGCTCAGCTGTCAAGTGCTTTTTAAAAAAAATTTGCATACATTTGGGTTGACTCTGTGTTGAGTTAATACACAGCACAAATTTTGACAAATACATTGGATATGTATTTGCCCTCTATAATAGTTTTACTTTCCTAAAAAGTCCTGTGCTTCATCATTTCAACCCTTCCCCTTCTAAACCCCTGGCAACCACTGATCTGTTTACTGTTTTGCAAGGAGCACATATGACTGAATGTTTAGGTAGCTGTGCCTGCACTATTTTGTTCCATTAACATCTTGGCTGGGGTATAGCTTAATGGTAGAGCACCAGGTCTTAGCTTTGACTCCTACCACCACAAAAAAGGAGAGAAAAAACTTTGATCTATCCTTGCACTAGTACCATTTTGTCATACATAATATAGCTTTATAATTGATCTTAATATCTGGTAGGGAAAGTTCTACAAATTTGTTCTTCAGTGGTATTTTAGATATTATTGACCCTTGGCATTTTCATGTATACATTGGAATCAGCTTATCAAGTTCCCCACAAAAACAATTTTTGGAATTTTGATTAAGCTAACATTATATGTGTAGATAAAATTGTCAAGACTTGATATATTAACAATAATGAATCTTTGGTCATGTGAACAAGTACATGTCTCCATTTATTTGAATTTCCTCAAGTGCTTCTTTTTTTGGTGGTACTGGACATCAAACTGAGGACCTCATACCTACTAGGTGTGAAGACTCTACCACTGAGTCACACCCCTAGCCCTTTTTGTTTTTAAGACAAAGTCTCACTAAATTGCCCAGGATGGCCTTGAACTTGCCAACATCCTGCCTCAGCCTCTGAAGTAGCTGGGATTTCGGGGGTGTACCACCACACTTGCTACCTCTAATACTTCTTAATTGAAGTATTGAGTTTTCTCTACAAAAATGTTATTTTTTTGTTGTTGTTGTTAGAGTTGCTCATAGGCAATTGATCTATTTAAAGCTTTTTTCTTTATTAGAGATGGTCTTGCTCAGTTGCTTAGGGCCTTGCTAAGTTGCTGGGGCCGACTTTGAACTTTTGATCCTCCTGAGCTGCTGGGATTATAGGCATGCACCACCATGTCCAGCTATGATGGTAATTCTTAAATAAATTCTGTAAATTTATTTATACCTTCTCATATTTTATATGTACAGTTGTATCATTTACCAATAATGATAGTTTGTTTCTCTCTTTCCAGTGGTATAACCCTGTTTTTCCTTCCATTTTTGTGTTTTCTGGGACATCCATGTTGAACAGAAATAGGGATAGCAGGCCAGGAGTGGTGATACACCCCTATAATTCCAGTTACTCAGGAGGCTAAGGCTGGAGAATTACAAATTTGAGGCCAACCTGGGCAACTTAGTGAGATACTGTGACAAAAGCATTAGAGATGTGGCTTAGTGCTTGGCTAGTGTGTAAAGGCTCTGGTTCAATACCCAGTACCAGGGGGGAGAAATAGCAGACATCGTTGCCTTTATTCTGACTTCAAGGGGAAACCTTCAAATTTTGACCTCATTTTATCATGTTGCTCTAGTTTTCTCAAATCTCCTTTTTATCAGATCAAGCTCTCAGCTAAACTCAAATTGCTGAGAAGTATTTTTTGTTTAAAATGATGAATGAATATAGAATTTTATTAGCTATATTTTCTGCATCTCCTGAGAGGATGATGTGATGTTTCTCCTCTATTCTGTTAATATGATAGATTTTATCTATTGATTTTTCTAATTATAAACCAGTCATGCATTACTGATATAAAAACAACTAGGAACCAGAATGATTAGAGTTTAAGAAAGCAAGCCAGTGGCACACATCTGTAACCTCAGCGGCTTGGGAGGCTAAGGCAGGAGGATTACAAGTACAAAGCCAGCCTTAGTAACTTAGTGAGACAAACAACTTGACAAGACACTGTCTTAAAATTAAAAAAAAAAATTTAAAAGGGTTGAGGATGTTGCTCAGTGGTTAGGCACCCCTGGGTTCAATTCTCCTGTACCAAAAAGTAATTAAATAAAAGAGCAAGCCATGGTAAGACTCAGGGAATGTCGTTCTACTCTTACACAAACTCTCACAAAGAATAGAAAGAAAATATTTCCCAATTCATTTTATATTAATACCCAAACTTGCAAGGATGATACAAAAAACTGAATCAGTTGATTCAAATTACTATTGAAACAAAATATTAACAAAGCTGAATTTGGCATTATATCAATAAGCAATACATGTTACCTTGGCTAACTATGTTAAGTCCCTACTTCTTCCTGGACCCTCCCACTTTTTTCCCATTTAGGTCCATTTCTTGGCTTCACTGCCTTTATTTTAATGTATAATTAAATTATATGTTTGTTCACTTCTTTTGGTCTTTCTCTAGATTTCTTCAGAATAATATATTAATAGAGAAACACTTAAATATCATGTTTTCTAGATTTGAATGCTCTTGATAAAGTGCTTTTCTGTTTTTCTTTTTGAAATTAAGAAGAGACATGGCGGCTCTCTTTCTCTCACATTGAAAAAGACATTTTGAACAACCATGGACAATCTAAAACATGTTGTGAAACTGATGGAGTTAAATGTTGCAGGTAATTTCCTTATTTTGTTAAATGGCAGATTGTATGTGATATGTTTAGTTTTTTGTTGACTCTGTAGCTCACATCTAAAAATGATCATTGAGTTGGGGGCCAGGGAAGGGCTTGGTGACCTGGGGAAAGTGTAAGCATATTAATGCCATGTAATAGGAGGAGGCAGAGGGTTACTCTTATTGGATACTAGTGCTTGCTTTGGAATAGTTTGACTGCATTGAAAGCTAGGAACTGACTGGCCAAACTTGAAATCATGCTAAAAGATAGTTATTTCTCTTTAGCATACATACCATAAAAAACTGAGATGGAAAAAGAATTGTTCATGTGAGTTTCTAAAGTTGATCAGTTAAAGGTCATGAATGAGAAAACCTCAAATGATGAATGGCCAACATTCAGGCACAGAGGTTCTTTAAAGCCTTATATGCAGACTTTGAAGCAAGCATTTGGGAAAGTATATTGCTGACATGGCTAAGTAATTTTATAATATTAACTTTTGTCATCTCCTAAATAATTGAATAAATATTTACAATCAGGGGCTGGGGTTCTGGCTCAGCGGTAGAGCGCCCGCCTCACATGTGTGAGACCCTGGGTTCGATCCTCAGCACTACATAAAAATAAATAAACAAAATAAAGATAAATATTTACAATCCAGCAAAATAAAATAATTTTATAAAAATCAAAACAAAAGTTTTATAGATACCAAAGGAATAGAAGAGTCATATAAATATCTGTCAGTTCTACATAGTTGAATTAATTCTGTGTGTGTGTGTGTGTGTGTGTGTATTACTGGAGATTGAACTTTAGAACCTTGTACATGCCAGGCAAATGCTCTACCACTGAGCCACATCCTCAGCCCTAGTTGAATTAACAATGATAGAAGAAAATGTCTAAGCTAGGATTGGAGAAGAGAGAAGAAATATGTGCTTTTGAAACTTCAAAGCATATATTTGACTCTTTTTTTTTTTGGCAAAGCATATATTTGAAAATATAATCAGGCTTAAGGTGACTATATTACATTTAATTATATTAATATATCTTTACTGTTTAAATATGTTTTTTTCTGTAAGATTCTGAGGTCCTTTGTGAAATAAACAAGTTGTAAATAAATAAAAGTAAATAGCTTTCATTTTTATTTGACAGGAAAGATTGTTTAAAACTAATGAAATACCTTTTGGAACAGCTGAAAAAAAAGTTTGAAGACCGAAAAGAACTGGATAAATTCTGCTCTTATCATGTAAAAACTGCCTTCCTGCATGTATGTACCAAGAATCCACAGGATAGTCAGTGGCACCCCAAAAATCTAGTAGTCTGCTTTGATAACTGTGTGGCATTCTTTCTTGAGTGTCTTAGGGCAGAACAACTTGAGCATTATTTTATTCCTGTAGTCAATCTATTCTCTCGAAACCACATTGACAAAATAAGTAAAGAATTTTTGTGCAAAGAAATTGAATATGAAAGAAACAATGGATTTCCAATTTTTAATGAATTTTGAAATTTTATTTTAAGAAAAAAACAAGAATCAAAGTGACTGTAGTAATTGGGATTGCCCAACAATGATTGTCTAGAATGAGTGTAATTAATTATTCATTCTCAGTTTGTCATAAATGACCCTAATATAAAGGGTTGTAGATAAAGTGTGAAGGATTGACAATCCTAGAAAAGAGATTAGATAAGAAATGAAAAGCAAAACAAGTATTTAAAGTCTAACGGCTTTACCAGACTAGGCACTGTGGTAAATACTTATAATGCCAGCTACTTAGGAGACTGAGGCAGGAGGAACACAGGAGCTCAGGGCCAGCCTGGGCAACTTGGGAGACCCTGTCTCAAATAATAAATAATAAAATTAAATGAAGAAATAAAAACTTTATCAGATTGGAAAGTGGAAAAGGAATAAAATATATATCATCCACAATTAAATTCATCAAGCACTTACTGAATACCAGTTCTTACCTAGCACAGGTATGTGGAAGGTTGTGAGAAACAGTGGTAAAAATGATCATTGCTTCCATAAAATTGGTGGGCTTTGTTCAACTTAAAATATTTTGGGGACTTTGGGGATGTGGTTTTTACCTTGTGTGCAGGAGGCCCTGAGTTTGATCCCCATCACCACACACAAAAATACGTGTGTGTGTGTGTGTGTGTGTACACACATTACTATATTTGGAAGCAATTTCTGGTCTGGTCCTATATGCTAGGATAAGAAAGAAGAAAATGAAAAACTAAGTTTTATTTTGTCTGTATATATCTCAGTAAATACATAACCATATAGGAAAATGTAGGATATTTCACTACATATGGCCAAGTATAAAACTTATTTTCTTTTATTTATTTTTATTTTCAGTAATACTTTTCTGTGTTTCTGAATGGGTAATACATATATTACCAAACTCAGAGAAAGGGGTGTGGGGCAAAACATATTCAAGTAGCACTCAACCTAGAGGCACTGATGTTCAACTTTTTCTGTTGGTACATTTTATACATTATCTGGTTTATCTTTTTCTCATTGTTTTGTAGTTCTTTGTGTTTTGGATACTTATCCTTTGCTGTTTATGTAACATATAACTTCTATATGTGGGTTGTCTCCCATCTTTTTTCTTATCTTTTAGTAAACAAGGCTTTAAATTTTTGTGTAGTTGAATTTGTCAGTTGTGTTTATGGTTTGTGCTTTATACTTAACAACCTACTGTGTTTGAACGTACTAAGAGAAATGGCAAACAAGCAAAAAAATTCAAGCTATATTTAACATCATAAAAAATGTACAGAAAAAAAGAAAAGTATATGTGGCCCTGGGTTCAAGCTCCAGTACACATACACAAACACAAAAGAGAGAGAAGGAGAAAGGAAAAAAAAATCATAGTCTGATTTGAGAATATTGTTGAGTTTCAATTATTTGCAAAATTGTCATATGACAATTGACTATTCATCTTCTACTAACTATATTAACCTTCTCCATATTATGATTATCACTATATGGGGAAGATAGGACAGCTGGCTGAGTGGTTGTAAAGTGATAATATGGTAGATGGACAACAGATTGAATTAGTTTCCTGTTGTTGTTGTGTAACACGTTACCACAAGTTTAGTGGCTTAAAACAATGTATGTTCATTATTTCAAAGTTTCTGTGGGTCAGGATTCTGACTCTGCTCAGGGTCTCATGAAGCTATAATTAGGGTACTAGCTGGGACTGTGGCAGCATCTGAGACAGGAGAAAGAGCCACTCATGTTGGCAGAATTTGTAGCACTGAGGGCTTTAATTTCTGCTGTCAGCTGCAGGTTGCCCATGTTCCTTACCACCTGAGCCTCTCAACATAGGCAGTCCATGATAGTAACTTAATTCTTCAAAGCTGTCATCTAACTAAATTTTCTATTATCTTAACCCTTCTTTGTAGTTTCCAGCTTTTTTTGTCATTCTGTATTGCAATCTGGATTCTTTTCTATCTTTCAGTTCTTGGTTATTCTTTGCCTGGCATGGTGGCACATGCCTGTAATCAGTAGGCTGAGGTAGGAGGATCCCAAGTTCAAGGCCAGCCTGGACATCTTAGCAAGACTGTCTCAAAATAAAATATAAAGAGAGCTAGGGATAAAATTTAGGCCTTAAGTAGGCCTGAGTTCAATCCCTGGTCCAAAAAATAATAATTAATAAAGAAATGATTCATAAATTTTAGTTGGCCTGTCATTCTGGGCAGCATGATGAAACTTGTGTCATCCTGCTCTGTCCCTGGCCAACCTACTCCATTTTGTATGGGACATGAATCATCCCTTTGTCTAGAATATCTATGCAGTATATGCCACCCCTCCAATAGTCACATAGCTTTCTTAGTTATCACATCAATTGTAATGTTATCAATACTTGTGTTTAAGTAACCCTCATTTTATTTAATAATGATTACAAAGTGCAAGAATAGTGATGCTTGTAATTTGGACACACAAAAACGAAGCTGTGAAGTGTTTTTGTTTTGTTTTGTTTTTTGGTACTGGGGATTGAACTTGGGCATTCAACCACTGAGCCACATCCCCAGCCCTATTTTGTATTTTACTTAGAGACAGGGTTTCACCAAGTTGCTTACTTAGTGCCTTGCCATTACTGAGGCTGGCTTTGAACTTGCAATCTTCCTGCGTCCAGCCTCCCAAGCCACTGGGATTACAAGCATGTGCCACCCTGCCTGGCTATGAAATGCTGTTTTAAGCCTAAAGGTCTCTATGAGAAAAGAAAAAAATTATACATGAAGGTTGCTAAGATCTACAGTAAGAACAAATCATCTGTGAAATTGCATGGAAAAAATCATGCTGGTTTTGCTGTTGCACCTAAAAATGCAAAGGTATGGCCACAGTGCATAATAAGTGATTAGTTAAGATGGGAAAGACATTATTAAATTGTGATGGAAGGCATGAACAGAAAATGTGTTTCAAGTGATGGCAACATTTATAACAGAAAGCATTATTCCTATAAAATGACCTCAGTAAAGGACCCCTGAAACAAGCAGCACCAAGCTATTTACTTGCAAGGAAAGGGTTATTAGATAGATTCAGGAATAGATTTGGACTGAAAAATAATTACTGGAGAGGCTGAATCTGTCAGTAAAGAAAATGCTGCCACATTTCAGACAGCGTTGAAGTTGCTCAAGAAGAAAGGAAACCATCCCAAACAAGTCTTTAGTAGTACTATTTCTCGTTATTGTTGCTCATCTCTTCTTGTGCCTATGATTAAATTTAATCACAGGTATCTACAGGGTTCAGTTTTATTTAGTTGTAGTTACCTGAGGGTCTTTGGATGCATCCCCTTCAAATAAGTGGTACATGCAAATGCCCAAATTCACAGGGTATATAAGCACAATGAAAGTATCAATTCCAATTATTATTCAGCCACTCATTTATCCAGAGGCAATTACCATTACCTTCTTGTATCACATTCTGAGGATATGCTTATATTTTACGGAGTTAAATTAACATTCTTCACTTTAGCTTTATAGAATGAATTGGAAAACTCAACTTTTAAAAATTTTTGTTAAAAATTGAACCAGGGTTTCTTTACCACTAAGCTACACCTTCAGTCCTTTTTATTTTTTGCTAAGTTGCTGAAGCTGACCTCAGACTTGCAATCCTCATGTCTCAGCCTCCTGAGTAGCTAGGGTTAACAGCGTGCACCACCATGCCTGGGAGAAACTCATCTTTTTCAATGTTCTATCTAGCACATAGGAATGTATCCTCTTATTGAAGGTCCTTGATTGCCTTTTATGTTTGTTTTGTCTTGATTCAGTTAAACTTCCTCAGTAAATTGTGGTAATTAAGAAATCACAAAATGATCAATTCGAAGAATTTTCATATTTGTTGGCAATAATTATGCTCAGTGTTCTTATCATTTGATGCTTTTAAGCCCCCAATTCCTAGACTTAACCAGAAACTTGTGTACTTGATCGGTCTTACTGAAGAATCAGCTGTTATGGGGCTGAGGTTGTGGCTCAGTGGTACAGCACTCCCCTACCATGGATGAGGCACTGGGTTTGATCCTCAACCCCACATAAAAATTAATAAAGATAAAGATATTGTGTCCACGTACAATAAAAAAATATTTTTTAAAAAACCAGCTGTTATGTTTTCACTGATTTGTCTCCTAAGTTATTCATTTGTTAATTTTATTTCCTTTTCTCTAAAGTTCTTGTTAATCTTACTGTTAACACCAGGAAACTCATGACTTGAGTGAATAATTTGTAATGAAGGCCTAAACTAATTATACACAAATATAATTATAAATGCACAAATTCTAGAAATTAATAAATATATATTAACTTATGTATGGAGGAAAAGATAACATAAAAGTATAAGGGAAAATATAATTAATGTGATCAAGGAATGTTTATGGAAATGCCATTTGACTTTCTGGGATGTTAACATACATAGATGGGCTAAAATAAAGATAACAGGTTGTTTCATATTTTTGGTCTCAAACAATTCATTTGCTTGATTCATATTTCCAAATAAGTATAATCATTTAAGAAAAGCATATGTGCCAAGCATGGTGGAGCAAGCCTGGTAGACGGAGGCAGGAGGATCTCAAGTTCAAAGCCAGCGACAGCAACTTAGAAAGGTCCAGAGCAACTTAGCAAGACGTTGTCTCAAAATATAAAAAGGGCTGGGTATGTGACAATGCTTAAGCACCCCTGGGTTTAATCCTTAGTACCAAAAAGAAAAGGAAAAAACCCCACACAAATAAAATACTACTTACAAATACAAAATTAAGGTACTACACAGAGAGACAAAGTTCAACTTGTCCTTTTTATCACAGAAATTAACGTTTATTTTGTTAACAGTTATCTTTTTTACTGTCATAACATCTGAACAAGAACTCTTTAAAGACCGACCTTACAACATTACAGAGAATTTTTCAAAGTCTTTTTAATAAAAATATTTTAAATAAAGGAAAACCTTCTGCATCATCCTTCATAAATATCCATGAAAAAAATTTCAACTCAAGTTTAAATACTTTTGATTTTATTAAAGAAAGTATAAAATATTGAAATCTACATTTTTTTTGCAGTACTGGGGGTTTTGGGATTCTACATTTTTAAACACTATTATGTTAAGAATCAGCTGTCTCTTCATACTACTGGACGTTTCAATACTTATTTTCATCTCGAATAACGTATTTCTAAAATATCTTGAATTCTGAAAAGTAAACAGAGAAAAAAATATAAATTACTATTCCCAACATTGTTTTTAAAGTTTAATTGTGATGAAATGTACATAAAATTTACTATTTTAACCATTTTTGTGTGCAGTTCAGTAGTGTTTGTATTGTCATACAACAAATCTCCAGAACATTTCATCTTAAAAAACTGAAATTCTGTACCCATTAAATAATAACTCTTGCTTTTCCTGCAACCCCACCAGTCTTTGATAACCACCATTTTGCTTTGTTTCTACTATTTTAGATATAAGCGGGTACACCTTTTTGTGACTGTTTTATTTTACTTAGCATAATAGCTCTAAGGCTCATCCATTTGGTTTCTGGACTTGCTCGCCAACACTTGCCATTTTTTTTCTCATTGTTCTTTTGTTATTTTAACTTTCTCTAGTGATATAGAGAGCATTTTTTTCATATGGTTATTTTCCATTTGTATATTATCTTTGGATAAATACATATTTATTTTCCCATTTTCTCACTAGGTTTTATGTTTTTGTTGAGTCGTACCAGTTCTTTTGGATGTTAACTCCTAGTCAGATGTGATCTGAAAATATTTTCTCCAATTGCATAGGCTGCCTTTTCATTTTATGTCTTATTGTGCACAAATGTTACACCCAAGAAATTACTAACAAACCCAATGTCAAGTTTTTCCTGTTTTTCTCTCCTAGGAGTTTCATAGTTTGGGTCTTAACATTTTAGGTTTTTAATCCATCTTGTGTTAATTATTGTATGTTGTAACTTAAGGCTCCATGTTCTTTCTTTTGGAATGTGGTTCTACAATTTTTTTCAGCAACATTTGTTGAGGGGACTGCCCTTGCCCTATTGAGTAGTCTTCTTTTTTTTTTAGTTAGTTGCTCAAAACATTACAATGATCTTGACATATCATAAATCATATATTTGATTCAAATGGGGTATGAATTCTTATTTTTCCCACGTGTACAGATTGCAGGATCACATTGGTTATACAGCCACATTTATACATGCTGCCATACAAGTGTCTGTTGTATTCTGTTGCCCTTCCTATCCCCTTCCTATTCCCCCTCCCTATTGAGTGGTCTTGATGCATGGTTGAAAATCAACTGATAATACAAGGTTTTAAATTATTTAAGGGTATATTTTTGGGTTGTATATTCTATATTATTGATATATATCTATTATGCTAATATCACTGTTTTAATTACTATAGCTTTATAAAATTACATGAGGAAGTGAGTACTCCAACTATCTATTTTTAAATTTCTGGGACAATGTCTCCCTTTGCTGCCTAGGCTGGTCTTGAACTCATAATCCTCCAGCTTCTTCCTCCTAAGTCCTGAACTAGGTGTGTGTACCTGGCCAATTACATTGTCTCAAAATTGTTTTGGTACTTAGGGGTCCTTTGAGATCCCATATTAATTTTAGGATAAAATTTTTCTTTTGTTTTTTGTACCAGGGATTGAACCCAGCAGTGCTTATCCATCAAGCCACATCCTTAGCTCTTTGCTGTATTTTATTAAGAGACAGGGTCTCACTGAGTTTCTCAGGGCCTCAATAAGTTGCTGAAGCTGGGCTTGAAATGGTCCTCCTGCCTCAGCCTCCAGAGTCACTGGGATTATAGGCATCCACAACCACGCCCGGCAACTTTTTCCATTTTGGAAAAAAAAAAAAAGCCATTGGGATTTTGATAGAAATTGTTCTGTATCTGTAGATTGCTTTGGGTAGTATTGACATCTTAAGAATAAACAGCAGAACAGGATCAAAGATTATGTCTGATACATAAAGGAAAATAAGAAATTATTTGTAAAATAATTCTTCCTAGAAAAATACTTCATCCTCAAAAAGTTGAGGTGTTATAAGGAGTCTAGCATGTGCAAGGGCCTGGGTTAAATTCCCAGTACCCTACAAAAATAAAAAAACAACCAACTTTTACCAACTTTGAAGTGTTGCCTAAATTTTCATAATTCTTATGTGACTATCAGCATTTTTTCCTCAGAACATTTGTAAAATATTTTTGCTTGACCAGTGAGACAAGTATTTTGCCAGGATCATTACATTTACATAAACAGCAGAGCAGGATCTAAGATTATGTCTGATACATAAAGGAAAATAAGAAATTATTTGTAAAATAATTTACAAATTACATTTACATATAGTCTTAGTAGTAGTGTTTCCAGAAATACTATACATATTAAAATAAATACTGTGGTTTACAGACAGGGTTACCATTCTATTTAACTTCTGGTTTTCAGAGTACATGTACTTGGTTTATTTTTGAATGTTTTATTCTTTACTACCACTATAAAACGGAATCATTTTCTTAAATTCTTGGTTTATTATTTGTACATTTCAGAAATGCAACTAATTTATTAAGTCTACATTCTACAACTTGCCAGATTTTTGTGGAATGTTTAGGACTTTCTACATCTAAGCTCATGTATTCTGTAAAGATACCCCTTTTTCCAGTTGAGGTCCTTGCATTTTCTTGCCTCCTTGCTCCAGCTAGAATTCCCAGAACTATGGTGAATGGAAGTAGTGACAGCCTGCTTGTTATAGTCCTTTGTTTTTACCACAGACTTAAAAATTTGTTGTTTACATGTACATGACAGTAGAGTGTTTTGATGTATTTTACATACATGGAGTATAACTTATTCTAATTAGAACCCATTCTTTTATTATTTTTTTTAGTTATACATTACAGTAGAAGATGTTTTGACATATCATACATATAATGTATAACTTCGCATTTAGAATCCCATTCTTTTTTTTTTTTAAAGAGAGAGAGAGAATTTTTTAATATTTATTTTTTAGTTTTCGGCGGACACAACATCTTTGTTTGTATGTGGTGCTGAGGATCGAACCTAGGCCGCATGCATGCCAGGCGACCTTGCTACAGCTTGAGCCACATCCCCAGCCCTAGAATCCCGTTCTTGTAGTTGCACCTGATGTGGATTTCACTAGTGGTATATTAATATGTGAATATAGAAAATTTTATCTTTTCTATTCCCATCTCCACTCCCTTCCCATCATTCCTGGTTTTCTAATCCAGTGAACTTCTATTCTTCCCCCCACGGACCATTTTTATGGCTTTATTATATTCAGGTTGTTTCCTTCTGTTTTTAGTTTTCATCGTGATCATTGTTAATGTATTTATCAAATTATTCTTCTATGTCAATTTAAATAGCCACTTGTCATGTTGTTTCCCCCCTTTTATTAATGTTGGAATATTTGATTTCTGTACACTGAGCAATGTGTGCATTACAGGAATAAATCCCACCTGGTTATGGAATTAATCTTTTTAAAGTACTACTGAATCATTTAGCTATTATTTTGAGTCTTCAGTATTCAGGGATATTATTCTGTGGTGTTAGTGTTTGGCCTTAGTGTCAGGGCGATAAGGGCCCCATAGAGGGGGATTGAAAATGGAGGTTGAGGGGATTAATGTTGATTTTTAAATGTCTGCCAGAATTCAGTGAGGCCATCTAATTCTAGGTTTTCCTTTGTGGGGAAGTTTTAACACTGATTCAACCTTCTTACTAGTTATAGTTCTGTTCTGATTTTTTTTTATGATTTAATCTTAGGTTATTCTTGGTTAATATTTTCAAACAAAAGTAAAACCGGGTACAAGCCAGGATCTGTGGCATATGAAGCATGTACTCTCAGGCGCTTGGGAGGTGAGGCAGGAAGACTACCTGAGCCCTGGAGTTGGGAGGCCACTCGGTACACAATGAGTTTGATAAAACGAAAAAACAAACTAGATGCCAACACTGGTAATTGTGATTTTATGCAAAACCTATATTAAAATGTTAAAAAAATGAGGATACTTTAAACATTATTTCTGAGCTTTGCTCTATTTTCTCCCTGTATATCCAAGGCAGTGCATGATTTCCTCTGATCTTGTCAACAACTGTTGTCAGTTCTAACTTCTTTTGAGTTTTTAAAGTATTAAAATATATCCAATATTTCTATTGAATCTGAAATAAAGAAGGGTGTCTTGTGTTAACTCAGTTCATTGTCCTAGGGAAAAATTTTGCTTTGAACACCAGACATCTAAGGATGGCTCACATATTTTTGAACAGCTGGAGAGTAAACGTGGTGCTGTGTAGCATTTGATCTACCATTGCTTATTCATCTAATCACTTAGAGGACATATTAGATTTTGCAACTACAAATATTGTTATGAATTTTTTAAACATGCACGTGTGTGCGCACGCGCACACACACACACACACACACACACTAACAGAATACTTTCCTAGAAGTATTACTAGATCAAAAGATATATGTGGGCTGGGGTTGTAGATTCGTGGCAGAACAAACATAGGTGAGGTACTGGATTTGATCCTCAGCACCACATAAAAACAATAAAGGTCAAATTCTTTGATAAAAAAAGGTATGTATTTATACATCTCAAAGGTGGTTCTGTCTCCAGATCTTTTACACTCAATGACTTCTCTGAACAACTAGTTTATTGTCAACACTGAATTAGTAAATATGTATATTTATTTACATAAAATATTGAACCCAGGACCTTGCACATGCTAAGCAAACATTCTACCACTGAGCTACATCCCAGCCCTTTTTTATTTTATTGACAAGTCTTGCTGTTTTCCAGGCTGGCCCTGAACTTTTGATCTTCCTGCCTCAGCCTAAGGAGTCGCTAGGATAACAGGCATGTGCCCCAACTCTACATTTAATTAAGGTACTGTAGATAGATTAACTAGACTTTTGCTAACAGGTGAAAGAATAACACCCAATAATTCGAGGCTCTTGGAGATAATGCTGATTTTGATAAATATACTAACAAAATCTAGTTTTAAAAGGCAGGAGTTTGTAATTTTTACCTCTGGCAGGTTAGTACCACTTTTCAGCATTTAGTCATTAATAAAACTTTTGGGGCTTTCCTTGAGGTCTTCCCATTTTTTTTTCCATTTCTCTTTTCAGTTTATTTGCCTTGTATCTCTCGGCCATTAAGACAAGCTCCTCTGGAATACTCTGAAATTATTAAAAGTGTGATTAGGATTCTGAGTTC